TGTGCCTGGGAAAGCAACAATGGAGGGGTAGAGAGGGCAGTGCAGATCAGAAGATCTGGGCTCAAATCTTTACTTCCCAAGTACTTGGCTGGTCACCTGGACAATTTGCTTGACCTTTTGTGTCCAGTTATGGGGTACTCTGGAACTGGAAAACTGGGTATTCACATCTCTTTCCAGATGTATTGGCTGTGGTGGGATCTTAACACTGCAGGAACAGGCAAATCCCCGCACCCCTTGACCTCAGACTTGCTAAATGATGTGTCACTGCATGTTGTTAATTTGTGTAATGATATTGACAATGCCTATCTGACCCAAAGTATCAATCCAGAGAACTCACAGAACAATACAATATGTTACTATGTGAGCATTCTCTCTCTCTCTTTCTCAAGCCAGGGAATATTAGCTATATAGTTAAGATGGCTCTTTGGGGAGGGGTACAATTTCACTGTCCTAGTGATTTGTGTCACCATCCTGTGGACTAGACTGGCTGCCAATCTTGGCTCTTTGGAAGCATTCCTTTCGGAAGTCCTGGTCAGACTTCTATTCCCAACTCTCCATACCATAACGCTCCCCCATTACAGTACAATAGTACTAGGAAGTGTTCTTGCTCTCCTCCAATCCCCAGAGTGGTGTAAAGTGGGGTGCCCCTTACTAGTCAGTACTGGGCCCAAATGAGCTGCCCCACTGCCAACATCTTACATATTTGAACCTCATTTGCCTTTGCTGTTGCAGGCTCTGCCTAGGATTATCAAGGCCTTCCATGAAAATATATCTCAAATCAGAGGACACAGGCTTAGGGCTTTGACTCTCTCCTCCCCAGACCCCCTCTGCTTCCCTTGGAAAGGGCTTCACCTCCCCATCCAGAACCTCTTTTTTGCAGGTTGGAGACCTCAGTGTGGAGCCAAAGACATCACTTCTCAACTTTGACCAGTGCAGGACAGCAACAATATTTATTATGTTTCTACACAGCCTGTCAGTTGGATGGCTGAAGAGTGGCTACAGGATTTCCCCTCTGTACTAACTTAAAGAACTGAGGCACTCTGAGGAATTATGGGTCTTTTTTCAAGGCCACAGTGTGAGTCAAAGAAAGAAGGGAGTTTTGTTCAGTTGCAAGAACCTTTGCCACAATTGCAGGACCATTAGTGAGCCTATAGATAAAACCCTATTTCCCATTTTTTTTTCCTCTATCTGGACTCTTTTGAGGTAACTAGTCTTAGTCCATCTTCTGTTGTTATACCAGTTACCCAAGATGGGGTAATCTATAAACAAAAGAGATTTTGGTTTAAGATTCTGGAAATCCAAGAGCCTAGTGCCAGCACTTACCAGGCCTTTGATAAAGGCCTTGGGTGTGGTATAAGGGCAAGCAAGTGTATGCAAAGAGGAGGGGACAAAGTTGACACAGATGTCATAAGCTGCTCTTCTGGTAACCCACGATGATGAGAACTACATCAATCCCTTCATGAAGGCAAGATCCTCATGGCTCAAACACTTCCTGAAGGCCCTATGATGTCTCAATTCTGTCACATTAGCAATTAAATTTCAATGTGAGTTTTGTTGGGGACAAATCACACCCAAACACTAGCAAGTCTTATTCGGCATGCCACGTGTGGGCAACTGTTGAGAGACGGCTGGAGACTTTTTCTATACTCTTTAATTGGTTGGTATGCAAACTGCATTTTATGGAATTCTGGGCTCAGTGGTGTCTCCCTTTATCAGGATCTTATAGGTCATTTAGCAAGAACATTTCCTCAAGAAAGAGGTCTGAAAACTTATCCTCTCAAGGACTGAGGGGTGTGCACGTATGTGTGAAGACAGGAAACGGACCCGGAGACTCTCCCTGCTCCCTTTTCTGATACTCAATATTTCCACGTGGCTTCAGTGAGGGACCAAGTTAAAGACAAACTTGAATACAAGCAAGGGCCAAGTGTGGACTTTCAGATTTTTCCCCTCCACGATTTCCAGCACCCCAGGACCTTTGGAAGTGGTAGGGAACATGAGAGGGAGAAAAGGATAAAATAGAAAAGAAGGATGCTTTCCCGTTCTTCTGCCTACAGAGAAATTCTGGGGTGACAGGGGAGAGGGGGAGATGAAAAGGTCATACTTTTTTTTTTTAGAGTCATGGACAAAAATACAGTTACTCAATGTATCAGCAAAAAGTAAATCTTGTGAGTGAAAAAAGTGATTAAGTGATGTCAGAAAAAAATATTGTAAAATGCCTCGGCCTTTGGTGCCCAGGCCTAGGCCTAAAAAGTTCAGTTTTCAGATGAAAGACTAATTTCTTCACTTTTTTTTTTTCAACCTAGGGATGGACAATGAAAACTTGTCAGAATCAAACATAAAAATCTTATCTAAGCACTTCATGTCTGGCTCTTTCAGACCTTTTCAGGTCTTTCTAGTCTTCCTTTTCCCCCTTCTTTCCCTCCATCTAACTCTGGGCAGCATTCCGAAACCCTGGCTCTTTCCTTGAATGCTGAGCTTCCACACTGGGGCAGGTGTAGTGGGACAGGATGCCAGCAGAGCAGGGCTGGAGAAGGAAAGCAGAGGGTGTTTGGCTAAGACAAACCTGCCTTGGGACCTTTGTTCCACTGGTTATTGGCCACATGACCCTGAGCTAATTACTTAACCTGAGCCTGTTTTTGCCTTCTATGGGACTATGGGAGAACTGCAGGAATGGCTGTATATAAACTCCTGATCACTTCTGTGATAGGTTTCTTACTTCTCAGGTCTTTGATTATTCCTTTCCTCTGGATATATTTATTTGTGTCCTGGTGCTTTGTCAAAAGATAGATCTGGAAGGAAATATGAGCTCCTGGTAATGCATGAAACTTGGTGACCAGTCAATGAGAAAGGAGTTGATAGCCAAGGTTAAATAAAGTTTAAAGTCAACCACTGAGTAGCCACGTGGTCAGTCAGTCTCCCCTCATGCCACTGGGGAGGAGTCAGAAGGTTGGCACAGTGAGAAGTAGCATGGGTCATACTTGACCTTGTGCTCCTTTTAAAACACAAAAAGTACTCACCTTTAAAGACAAATCAAGCTGGACAGGAGACAACTAGACCGTAGTTAGCCATATATACCTTTTACTTACAAAAGTCATAGAAATAAACTCATAGAAATTGACATAATAACAAGTAGAGATTTTGGGCATCTATGATAGGCAAGAAACCAACTGGTAGTAAAAACCATACATTAATTTTAAATTTCCATCATAGAGAAGTCAAATGACTTTTTATAGCCAAAGTAAAAACTTTTTTTTTTTTTAAAAAAACCTCTATAAACCTAAAATCTGGGGCTGGGAAGGTGGCTCAGTGGTAGAGCGCTTGCCTTGCATGCCCTGGGTTCGATTCCTCAGCACCCACATAAGCAAAAAGAAAAAAAAAGCTGGAAGTGGCGCTGTGGCTCAAGAGGTAGAGTGCTAGCCTTGAGCTGAAGAGCTGAGGGACAGCGCCCAGGCCCAGAGTTCAGGCCCCATGACCAGACCCCCCCCCCCAAAAAAAAATTAACAACAACAACAACAACAAAACACCTAAAATCCTTAAATTGGTCTTTGGAACAACAACATTTTAGATTTTCTTGTCACACTTGTTCATCCCTTGGGATGTTGCTGTGTAATAACAAAGATAGAGCTCCTCTGGAAACTGTAACAAATAGAAATTGGTTAAAACCGTCAATTCCTTGGAGCATTTTCATAGGCGTGCCAGCCAATCAGAAAAGGCTATAGGAAGAGGACTGGACTGAACTGGCTTTGTAAAGTAGGTAGATTTGTCATTAGCAGGGAAGAAGTAAATGTAATCAAGGGGCCTTCAAAATTTTTTGTTTGGGGGTGCACGAAACTGGGGCTTGGACTCATAGCTGTCCCTCAGCTATTATGCTCAAGGCTGGTGCTCTACCACTTGAGACACACCTCCACTTCCGACCTTTTTTTCTTGGTGGTTTATTGGAAATAAGTCTCATGGACTTCGCTGCTTGGGCTGGCTTTGAACAGCAATCCTCAGATCTCTTGAATGGCTAGGATTACAGGTGTGAGTTGCCTGTCATCTGTCAGGGGGTGCTTATTTTAATCTGGGGTCCATTATAATTTTAGAGACCTGTCTAAAAGGTTCTAAAATAACAGAACCCAGGGCTACAGAGAAATGACCAACACCAAATTTAACACAGGATGCTTAATAGTAGGTTCTACACAAAGCATTCCAAATTAAGCCTGTTGTCAGTCAGATTTTCTAGGTGCCTTAAGCACTTGTGAGCCTTATGCTAGGCCTCAAAAGCTCAATGCGTACGTAGAAGGTTCTCAAGCATTCACTTTTTAAGGCTGAAGGGAATTTGCAGAAGGTAGCTCTGGCTCAATGCCGGGGGTTCTCTAGCGAGGGTAGTCTGCGTGTGACTCCCAGAATTGCTGAGCTGTCACTTCCCAGATGGTTGTGTTGGAACATAAAGCCACAGTGGGGGCTTGTGGGCCTCTGAGTGCAGGCCAGGCCCCCTGAGGCCCGCAGCCTCAGAACTGAAAAGGGAATTGGAAGGCCTCATGCTTCCAACTCAGGTTCTTTGTGTGGCACAAGGACATTTTCTAAAAATAAAGCAATATCTGAGATTACCCCTTTCCTTTACTAACACTTTTTAACCTTCTCTAAAATCCACCTGCACTTTCCACCACCATCAAACCAAAGCAGCTGTCACCAGCCTGACATTCCACTCAAGGCAGATGGAGCCAATGAACAGCTGAGAAAGAACCCCCCAGTCCCTTATTGGCTTGTGATGTATAATACCACAGGTGTTTAGGGAAAAGGCCAGAACTTAATAACCATGGATACCAAGCCAGGGGAAAGACACAGACGAGGTGTGGAGAAGCTTTTCCCTACCATCCTGGCCAGAGGGGCCTCTTGAGGTAGCCAAGGCTCATCAGACCTTGGACATTGTGCTTTTGAAAACAGGGCTGTCCTTTTCTTCCTAGCCAGTGGGGTGAAGACCTGCCTGGAATCCTTGCTGCTGGGATTTGTTTTTTGTGTGAACAAAGAACTGGGTCTGTCTTCCTGAGCCCCAAGTCCAGAGCACAAACCATTGAGATGTGGACCTGGGCTGACAAAGTGATCTCCCTATGTCCCTGAGTGACTCACATCTTCAAGAAGAAGCCAGGTGTGGTGGTGCACACCTATGCCTACAATTCTAGCATTCAGAAGGCTGTGGTAGGAGGATCATGAGTTTCAGGCCAGCCTTGGCTACATGTGAAACTCTGTTGGCCCCTTTCCACCTGAAAGGATGTTAATGTGTATAAAGCGTCCCTCGAAATGGGGATTTTGGTGGCAGCAGTAACATGAGAGAGCCAATGATTAGACCCAATGGATCAAGAGTCACCTTGGCTGTTGTCTCTGTAGACCGACAGCACTGATGATCACTGTTTTGGCTCCTGGGACCAGTTAAGCTTATTATTTCTCCTTACATCTCCTTGACCTCCAGGGGGAAAGAGTGTGTGTGTGTGTGTGTGTGTGTGTGTGTGTGTATGTGTGTGTGCGTGTGTGTGTGTGTTTGTGTGTTCCCTCTGCCATTTTGACAAGATGAGAGCTAAGATCAGATTCATTGAGGAAAGACCCATTTCTCTTTATACCCAAGTTTTGCTGTGTGTGGTTTTTTTACCCTTCTGTCTTTGTTCCTGACTTACAAAGAGGCCAAAACCCACAAGGTTAACTTCTAGGCAACATTTAGCAGGTGCTGTAAGTCACCAAATATAGCTATGTGCTGGGCTGCAGAGCAATCTTGGTATCATCCTCTCCTTCGATAGAAAAGGCCACAAAGACCCTGACACTTTAGGTAGCACAAGGAAAAGTAAGGCCAGGGCTGGGCCAGCAGTGTGCCCAAGTGAGGTGAGGATCCTGGTATCCATGGGTGAATATATTCTATGAGTCTGGAATCTACCCACTGAGGAAGCCATGGTGCCCAGGGAGAACTCTCCACGTCCAGGAGGCCAAGCAGGCAGCCAGCTTCCACTCAGTCCTGGCCACCTGTCAATTTATGAAAGAGGTCCTCATCAAGGGTTTCATTCTGGTCCTTGGAACGGGTAGACAAGAAAATGTAGCCACCAATGTACTCGTGCACAATCTTGCAATCTGCACTCAGGCAGGTGAAGGCGATGGAGACATTTTGATCAAACTCGATGGCTACCTGGAGGAGGAAGGCATGGATAGGCTTAAACTGACAAGGAAGGATGAGAAAGAAGCCGTTTTGCTGGAGATGGCTCTGGAGAGCTGAGACTGCAGAGGTGGCGAACAGGTGCCCCCGTCCTTCAATCTGACACTTTGGGAAAACATGATTCTTTGCGCCCTCTTGTGGTGCACATTTTTATGCACACCTGACAAAATACTGTCTCCCAACACATATCCAATCCATCTATCTGTTCCATCTATGAATTTAGATATAGAAATTTCCTAAGCCTTCCTGTGGTGAGGAACAGAATGTTGGAAGAATAGAAAATCATAGATCTGGCTGAATGTTCCAATAGCCATTGACTCTCCTTTCCCAGAGGAAAGTCATAAACTCTAAGCACCTGAAGACTTAAGAGATTCAGCTGGCTCTTATTCTTGTGCAATGCTCACTGGAACCAGCTGTGGATGGTTAAGACTGATGCCCGATTCCTGCTCCTAGATTTAATTGGTCTTGGGTGTGGACTGGACTGTAGTGTGTTAAAGTTTCCTAAAAGGGTTTTTTGTTTTGTTTTGTTTTGGTTCTGGGGTTTGAACTCAGGTCCTTGTGCTTGCTCTGAAGGTGCCCTATCACTTAAGCCATATTCCTTTTTTGAATATGGTCTTGCTTCTTCTTAGGCTGGCCAGGACCATGATCATCCTATTTATGCCTCCTGTGCTTCTGGGGTGGCAGGTACATGACACAACATCCAGCTTTTGTTGGTTGAAATGGAGTCTTAGGAACGTTTTGAGTTCTTAGGAACCCAAGCTGGCCTTAGACTTCAATCCTGATCTCAGCACCCAAAGTAGTGAGGATTAAAGGTGTGGGCCACCATGCCTGGCTTGCCAGAAGATCTTAAAATGCTTTAAGGTGCTAGAGAAACTGCCTTGGATATCATGTAACCTCTGACTTTCCTTCCACACATGTGTTCATAGATGGTGGTTAATGCTACTGAGAGGAATCCAGGGGTCTAAAACAAAGTAGGGGGGTGTTGGTCTCTTTTTATTCCTCTATATTATAGATTTGTACTGGAAAAATGAGAATGGCAAAGGAACAAAGGATTCTAAATTAGCAACATCAGGTTGTTCAGAATTAGCATTCCCTTGCTAAGGATGTAATTTTCATCCAGAATCTTCTACCATGTAGGCTAAACCTTTTTTTTTTTTTTTAAAAAAAAACAACCATTCCTGGGGCTTTTTTCTTTGCCATTCCTCAGGGCCTGGATGCAGTAAGGCTAGTGCTCTACCACTCGAGCCACAGAGTTACTTCTGGCTTTTTCTGAGTAGTTTTATTAGAGCTAAGGGTCTTGCGACTTTTCCTGCCAGGGCAGGCTTTGAACCGTGATTCTTGTATCTCAGCCTCTTGAGTAGCAAGGATTACAGGTGTGAACTAAGCCTTACCCAGTTTCCTCTGTGTATTCCACTTTCTCCTTCAGGCAGATAACTGAGACTTTGGGGCTACAACCAGTTAGATCTCTCCCTCTCTCTCTCTCTCTCTCAGATGAGGCCTTGTTTGGATTTATTTTGCATAGTAGTTCTAGCGAGTGTGCTTTCTGCTAACTAATGATCAGCCTGAATCTCATATAATCCTCTGAAAACTAAACTGCTCAGCAATTTTAGCCTAGCTGTATGGCAAGTCTTCACAGAAACTCAGCCAACTTGTGATGTTAATGACTGGTTTAAGTAGACAATTACTTACATGCCTGTGGTTTCTTAATTCTAAATTTCAAAAATCAGAATAATCTAAAATTCTAAGGCAACACACTTTTGTATGCGTTCAGCCCAGACTACCAGAAACTTCCATTTTACCTGCCGGATTTCCCAGTTTACGTTCCATTGTTTCATATTGGTGAATCTCCATGTTGTAATCGGAATCCCAGTGATGGCATCAATTCGAATCAACCGATTGTATGAAATCCCCAGAATGTCATCTTTCTTGCTTCCTCTAAATCTGAAGAGAAAAAATATAACACTAATTAGGAGAAACAATTGTAATTCACAGGCAATTTCTTAAAGAATGGATAAGAACATTTCTAAATTATCTTAGAAGGAGAATAAGGGATTAGCCTTCAAAAGGATGGTATTTTTACTATGAAAAACAGAATATAAACAATAGAGGAAGCTGGGCACTGATGCTCACACCTATAATCCTAGCTGAGATCTGAGGATTGTGGGTTGACACCAGGCAGGGAAAGAAAGTCTGTGAAACTCTTTTCTCCAATTAACTAGTAAAAAAGCTGGAAGTAGAGCTGTGGCTCAAGTGGTAGGGTCAGCCTTGACTAAAAAAGCTCAGGGAGGGGCTGGGAAGGTGGCTCAGTGGTAGATCGCTTGCCTTGCATGCCTGAGGCCCTGGGTTCAATTCCTCAGCACCACATAAGCAAAAAGAAAAAAGCCGGAATTGGCGCTGTGGCTCAAGTGGTAGAGTGCTATCCTGGAGCTGAAGAGCTGAGGGACAGCGCCTAGGCCCAGAGTTCAGACCCCACAACCAGACCCCCCCCAAAAAAAACAACAACAAAAAACTCAGGGACAGCTCCCAGGCCTGAGTCTAAGCCCCAAGATCTCCAGACTTACACATATAGACACATAGACACAAAGATACGCAAAGAACAGAGAGAATTAGGCTATCTTGAAGACATTATTATTATTATTATTTTAGTGGTGGTCCTGGGGTTTGAACTCAGATGAGCTCTTGCTCAGCTTTCTTGCTCATGGATGGTACTCTACCACTTGAGCCACATCTCCAGTCCTGCTTTTTGTTGGTTAGCTGGAAATGGAGTTGGGGACCCAGGGAGACTAGGTAGGATCACACTGGACCTGACTCAGGTAGTGTCAGTGGGATGATGTTGCCAGATGGCATGCTCTGATAGCAGAGCCTGTAGGATTTGCCAGGAGACAGGATATCAGTACAGAGAAACAGCTGAGTGAAGAATGATTCTGGGGACTTTGGCCTAACATCTAGGAGAGGAGTTACCTTTAGTGAGATGTAGAATAATTCAAGGAGACAGGACAGATTTAAGGGGGAAAGATCAGGGTTTCTGGACATGATGAGATGAGATACCAGTCATTAGCTAGACAAGAGAAGTTGGATGTAAGACAGTTCAGTACAGGAGAGAGCTCTGTGTTCAAGACAAAACACTTCAGAGCAACCAGCAGTTAATAGAGAGAAGCTGAATAAAATGGCTGAGTCCTATAAGGGTGAGTGTAGATGGAGTGTTTTAAGACCTGAGGTCTGTACATTGCAGTTTTCTCTGAGAAGATGAGGAAGAACCAGCAAGGAATGTCAGAGAAATGGCCAGGGAGGGAGTAGGAGAGTCAGCTGTGTTAGGAGCAAGTGGATCAGGAGGCTTTGCTCAAGTCAGGTGCCACAGGGACTGAGAGATGATGGATTTGCCTATGTGAAGGTCATGGATGACCAATGCATGACCTTGATGAGACAAATTAGGGCCAGTGAAGTAGGAGGAGATCTGTTTGGAGTGAGCAGGAAAAATAAGAGAAAGGAATAGGAGATGGTGGGTGGGTACAATATGCTTAATAGGTTCTGATGTAAAGGGTTCAGAAATGGGGGACAGTAACTCAAGGGGCATGGAAAGACAGGGTGTGATGTGAATGTGGGTGCTGCAGAAGAGAAGAATGTAATTTCTAGTTGAATAGATTACTGTCTATCTTTCATCTCTTTCATATTAGTTCCCCTACCCCCAGTACTGTGGCCTGAACTCATGGCCTTGTGTTCTCGCTTAGGCTTTTTGTCCAAGGCTGGCATTCGACTTCCTGAGTCACAGCTCCATTTCCAGCTTTTTGCTGGTTATTTGGAGATAAGATATTTAATTCTGTTTGCCAGACTGGCTTCAAACTTTGATCCTCAGATCTCAGCCTCCAGAGTAGCTAAGATTATAGGCGTGAGCCATTGGCCCAGTTCCTGTAACTTAATGTTTTTTTTTTTTTTTAAATTGTTATTATAAAGGTGAAGTACAGAAAAGTTAAAGGTACATAAGTCAGGTCAAGGGTACATAAGTTTCTTTTTGGACAATGTTACCCCCTTCTCTTGTACTCTCCTAGTTTTTCCCCTCCCATCCCACCTACAAGTTGTATAGTTCATTTTCAATGTCTAGTAAGTACCATTGTTACATTTGTTTACCCTTTGTTCCTCCATTTCTGGTTACTTTTGAAAGATTACTTCTTGGGAATCATTCTCATACCTCTTACAATGCATTTTGTTACCTTCATGCTTAACATTGCAGTTAAGTTAACCTACTTCTTGCCCAACTTGCTCCTCTCCAGCATATACGAACCCTGTGGGATGTCTCTTGCCTCCAGGGAGTTGTGAAGCAGAGACTCAGGTTTCTTGGAGTGAGGAGAACCTTACACATGGAGTCTGTTCCAGACCTGGCTTCTGATCGTAGCAAAGGAAGATTTTTACCCGATCTGCTGCCGTTGTTTCAGTCTCACCTCCATAAACATGTGTTGAAGATGGAATTACAGGTGATAGGAGGTAAAGGGACAAACAGTCTACAAAGAGGCAGTAATTGTCCTTGGACTTTTGCAGGGCCAACCTACATGGCATGGTTTATCAGGAATGTGAATTGCCATGGATTCACTAGATTTTCTCTACAGAAGAGGTTCAGAATGCCCACTGAGCATGTGCAGGAGCTAGGGATCTATAGGGTCAGAGAAATGCCCAGGGACAAAGGTAAGACTGAGCGCTAGGCTGGGTGTTCAAGTTTTTCCCACTATACAGGTCTTACTTCAGAGTTCCTAGTAAGGGTGTACATATGTGTGTGTCCAACACAAGTTTATTCTTCCTCATGTGGGGTGTGTGTGTGTGTGTGTGTGTGTGGTGTGTGTGTGCTGCTGTTGTGCATTCTAGGCAGGCAGTCTACTTACTGAACTATATCCTTAGTCCTTTTTTTGTGCTAGGGGTTAGTTACATAGTTTAGGGTGACCTTGAATTCATGATCCTCTTGCCTCTGTTTTTTGAATACTGGGATTTCAGATGTGTACCAACATGCTTGGCTTCTCCAATTCCTTCGCTAGGATGGATAAAGCAGAATAGCTGCTTATTTGGGACAAACAGTGGGAACAGATATTGTATGACATGCTTCAGTGCACAGAAAAGTCTGAATAAATCCCATGCTAGTTGAGGTAGGAGACAACGGGTTTGGGTGAAGAGCCAAGAAAACAATGAAAAATGTATTTTTGTATAAGCCAATACTTTAAAGTACAAACCACTCTCTAATTTCCAAGAGTAAAATGAGAAAGTGACAGAGTATCTGCTGTGCTACAGAATTAAACATAAATTTTGCTTCAGTGTCAGTCTTCCTTACTGAGTAAAGAAAAGAAATGTAATTTGATGGTTTTTTTTTTTTTTGTTTTTGTTTTTTGTTTTTTTTGTCGGTTGTGGGCCTGAACTCTGGGCCTGGGCACTGTCCCTCAGCTCTTCAGCTCAAGGTTAGCCCTCTATCACTTGAGCCACAGTGCCACTTCCGGCTTTTTCTGCTTATGTGGTGCTGAAGAATCGAACCCAGGGCCTCATGCATGCAAGGCAAGCGCTCTACCACTGAGCCACCTTCCCAGCCCCAGAAATGTAATTTGATTGATTGATTGATGTTTGTCAGATCATGGAGCTTGACCTCGGGGTCTGGGCACTGGTCCTGAGCTTTTTCACTTAAGGCTAGCAGTCCTACCTCTTTGAGCCACAGTGCTACTTCTGGTTTTCTGGTGGTTAATTGGAGATAAGAGTCTCATGGATGTACCTGTCCAGGCTGACTTTGAACTATGATCCTCAGATCTCAGCCTCCTGAGTAGCTTGGATTACAAGTGTGAGCCAACAGTGCCTGGCTTGTAATTAAATTTAACAGGATGTGTATGGTCAATATTTTGGAAATCAATCATGTCACATGCTAGGCTGAGCTATCAGATTACCAACAAGGACACTGGGTTAAATGACAAGGGGTTCCCCTGACTAGCAAGTGACCTTGACAGGTCACGGAAACTCTTTTTTCCTGTCTCAGCATTCTCATCCATAAAATACAGGAATGTAATAGAGGGTCCCCTACAGGGCTTTAAGAGCTGGAGTTCTTCAAAGGCCAAGGAGAATGAATGAATTGGTGACTACCCAAAAAGTCTAGGGGAACATTAAGATGTGGGATTTGTCTGAGCCTCTGTCTGGAAACCTAAATGTTTTATAAAGCCGCATACAGGCAGGCAGGGGAAACCTGTCAGGAAGAATGCCACAGATTGCATAAAACCAGCAGCTGGCATTTTACCCCTGGTTTTGTAAAGGCAGTTGCGCTAAAGGAAGAAAATCTGCTTTTAAGACTTATTTTCTTTCCCATGATTAGCTGAATCCAGGGAGTGTTAGGACTTTAGTTAGAAGGTATGGAAAACTTTCTTTTTTCTTAGCCACAGTCCAAAGTATTTGAACTACTTTGTGAAAGGACAAAATTCTAAAATAAGAAGAGGTTGACATTTTAGGCTGAGAACAAACTAGGCTTTAAGAAAGTCACCTAAAATTGTCATCTGGGCACTTGGAGGGCTGATGCAGGAAAATCACAGGCCAGCCTGACTACATAGTGATATTCTGTCCCAAATACCCCTACCTCCCTCCTCAAAGGCAAATGAACCCTGTAATCACCTGACGAGGTAGTAGGTGAGGCCAAATTCTGGAAGCGATTGCCATGCCTGGATGAACCGCAGCTTTGCTTCAACCAGGGACATCTGGGCCACGTTCTGATGAGCTTCCAGGATCCGGGTGGCCAGCTAAGCACAAACAGACTCTCCTCAGTGGTTTTTAATCATCACACTAACTCCACAGCCCCAAACAAGAACAGGCTATAAAAGCTCCATGTCCATTTCCAGGCAGATAATTCACGCTCATTGGTTCTTCCATTCTTTTTCTCCACTATGACTCGAGAGGAGGTACAAGTCAGCTAACACATTCATTTCTATGGTTCTTAAAAATGAGGAGTTAAGCTGGGTGCCGGTGGTGATGGTTTATGCTTATAATCCTAGCTACTTAGGAGGCTGAGATCTGAGGATTGTGGTTTGAAGCCAGCCCAGGCAGAACAGTCCCTGTGAGAGTCTTATCTCCAATCAACCATGCAAAAACTGGAAGTGGAGCTGTGGCTCAAAGTGGTTGAGCACTAACCTTGAGCAAAAGAGCTCAGGGACAGGGCCAAGGCCCTGAGTTCAAGCCCCATAAAAACCAAGTAAAAAAGGGGGAATTTTGGGTTCCTCTTTTTGGGTTATGTGGAGTGTTCATGAGGGTAATCCTACCTTACTTACAAAGCTCATGTGTGCTGCTTTTATGGAGGCCTATGTTAATGTTTAACTTTCAGAAACAAAATAATTTTATTCTTAATTAAAGTCAATCTGGGACTACCATCATGTTCAGACAGCTGCTGAGTCACCTCTCACCAAATTAACAGTAACTTACTAAAAGCATCTCATACATAGAACATAGTTAAATTTCCCTAACAACCCAATTTTTAAGATTAGGGTCTTAAGTAGGTGGAATTCCTCCTTGTATTTCTGAACGCAGGTCATCTAGACAAATAAATGGCCAGGCAGGATTTGCAGTACCTGTTTAGACTTGTGTTTTTTGGCACACCGAGGAGACACAAAACACTCCGGGTTCATGTCCATGTTTTCAAGACTGGAAGCCATGTGAACAGAGGAGTTGCGGTTTTTCATCCTCAGAAAGGAAAGGATGTTGAGGACCTCGGGCTGGTAGGAGCTGTCTGCCATGGTTTTGCCCTTTGATGCCAAAATGCAGGCAGCCATCCAGCGGGCATATTGATTCTCCTGCAACAAATGGCAGAGGGCACAGGAACAAGGTCAAGTGCAAAGCCAACTTTCTGTAATTCTAGAGCAGGGCTTGGGTTCTATGACACAACTCCAGGGCATCTATAGCTTTTGAGTGTTGTATTGAGTTTCTAGATGCTAAAGGGCTGAGAATAGCAATGACAGCGTTGACCTATTTTGTTCAGAAAACTTTGCATTTGAAAACAACCCAAGGATTTTAGGCACCAGTGGTTCATGTCTGCAATCCTAGCTACTCAGGAGGCTGAGATCTGAGAACCGTTGTTCAGAGCCAGCCTAGGCAGAAAAGTCTGTGGGACTCTTATCTCTAATTCACTGCAAAAAGATGAAGTAGAGGTATAGCTCAAGTGGTAGAACACCAGCCTTGAGTGGAAAAGCTCAGGGAGGCCCTGAGTTCAAGCCTTTGTATCAGAACAACAACAACAAAAAGAACCAAGAAACAAGAACCATCAAACACAGACAGGTAAAACCCCAAATTACCAGACAACTTCCTAAATATGCATTTGCATTTCATCTCATCTCTGATCTCTTTGGCAAAAGAAAATAGTGAAAATCATTAATCAATTTCCTACATTATCTATTTCCTAATCTTAAGGTAGCCGTCAGGGATGTAACAGGATCTGACGCGGTAAGTGACAGTCTTTACTGTTGTACAATGTTTGTGCTTTTTTATTTTTATTTGTCTGAGACCCAGACTTGAACTTGCTATCTGCTGCTTTTGATCATTGCCTAGAGCTCTACCAACCAAGCCAGGTCTCCAACCCCTCTGTGCTCACTTTTGACCTCAGGGAGTGAGCAGTCCCAGCAGCTGCAGGATGCAGTGAATACAGAAATCCCTCACATCCCAGCAGGGATGGTACGCTGTATTTCTGGTCTCAATTGCTAGCCTCCTGATACTCAGACCCTTTCCCATGGAACCCTATAGTCTAACTCCCAGCCTTTCACCTGTTTTCATGAATGGGGCCAATGGCATGTGTGTGCAACTGATGGCAGGCCACATTTGGCAGCAAATGGGTTGTAAGTTGCCCTCTTGCATATCTATCATCACCATGACAAGAGCTCCCGCCTCCCTCCCAGATAACCTGGGGTCCAGAATAAATAAAATCAGGGCAAACTAGACCTGTGGCTTAAAGCAGATTTGACCAGCTAATACCAGCTTGAAAGGACAGATCCCTTGCCCAACTGTTGATCTTTCAGCAACAAATGTTGATTACTAAACGCCATTGTAATTTTGTCATATTGGGACACTTGTTACAAAGCAGGAGCTGGCTGGCACAATACTGCTCTATTTTGAGAAAGTACCTCACAGAGATCGTTTGGTTTCTCCTTTACCAGGGATTGAGGTATGAGTTCTTAATTTTAGGATGTCCAAAAGCATGTCTATACAACCACTCTATTTCTCACTCAATTATCCAATAAATTGCATGAGATATTTAACATTTCATCATACAATAGTTTTTGCGTGACTGTAGACTAATATAAGCAAATGTCTGAAGCATGTTTAAGGTAGGCTAAGCAAGAATGTTCATAGATTAGGGGGAGTAAATGCATTTTGACGTCATGGTACTTTCAAGGTTTATTGGGCTCTAACACCATTGTATGTAGAGGAACATCTGTATGGTTTGCATTTTGGATTAACAAACGTGAAGTGAATTGTGAGTCTTTTTTTTTAAATCATCATTTTACTTACATGTTCACATCTCAAATATACTTCATTCATGCCATCAGCCACAGGGATTAGTAACTTGATTCCAAATTTTCTCCCAGCTACATTCACATCGGGCACAACTTCACAGCCTGAAGGACACAAGTCAGGACAAACTCGAGTTCTGAGAAGACTATGATAAATAACAGGCATGAATCTAAAAAGACTTTGAATATTAACCCTTCAGACTTACTTCTCTCTCCTGGAAAATGGCAGAACACGTGATAGCATCAGTTAAAGGAAATGAAATAAGGCAGGAACAATTAACGTGGATAAAGAAAAATGACTTTCAAGCCGGGAGCTGGTGGCTCACGCGGGTAATCCTAGCTACTCAGGAGGTTGAGATCTGAGGATCGCGGTTCAAAGCCAGCCCGGGCAGGAGAGACCGTGAGACTCCGATCTCCAATAAACCACCAGAAAAACGGAAGTGGCGCTGTAGCTCAAGTGGTAGAGCGCTCACCTTGAGCTGAAGAGCTGAGGGACAGCGCCCAGGCCCAGAGTTCAAGCCCCACGGCCGACAAAAAAAAACAAAAAAAAAGAAAAATGACTTTCATCCAAGTACTAACCAGGCCCAATCCTGCTTAGGTTGAGATTGGGTACATTTAGGGTTGGTCCGGCTGTAGCCTAAAATATTTTTTTCCCTTAGCTGGGTGCTGGTGGCTCACGCCTGTAATCCTAGCTACTCAGGAGGCTGAGATCTGGGGATCACAGTTCAAAGCTAGCCTGGGTAAGAAAGTCCATTAGACTCTTATCTCCAATAAAACACCAGAAAACCAGAAGTAGCACTGTGGGCTCAAGTGGTAGAGCACTAGCCTTGAGCTGAAGAGTTGAGGGACAGTGCCCAGGCCCAGAGTTCAGGCCCCATGACCAAAAAAAAAAAAAAATCCCTTATGATTTCTTTAGATTAAAAAAAAAATCAACTGAATTCATTTTTCAAGCTGTTAGAACCTGGAGGTTCAAACAAACCCTGATTGTCATGACAGAAAATGAGTACACTGATTGCTTAAATATTTCAAATATGGTTATAGTCCCTTCCAGAGATAAGAATAGATACTCATGTGACACTGAATTAATGTCGCTATTCTTGGATTTATTTAATCAATTAATTAAGCAATATAGGGCTCTGTGCATGCTCAGTACACATTCTGTTGCTGAATTCCTTTACCAGCCCAGACATAACTGAATTCAGAAAGCTCCTCAGGACTTGCAATGTCTCATGAGCTACATTTAACATACACCAATCATGACAGCTTCATAGACTGGACACCCTGGAAAAGAAAGGTCAGCAAAGCCAAATGCCAGTAGCTAAGCCTGTAATCCTAGCTACTTAGGCGGCTGAGAACTGGGGATGGAGACAGAAATAAGAGACTCATCTCCAATTAACCAGCAAAAAGCTAGAAGGAAGGCATAGAGTGGTAGAGCACAAGGTCCCGAGTTCAAGCCCCAGTATTGGAACTTGTGTGTGTGTGTGTGTGCGCGCGCGCATGTGTGTGCGCGTGTGCACATACACAAGCCCACTCATGCAGCATTGCACAGATAACCATGTTTACTAGACCACCTCTAAGGTTCTCACTGAAGGAGGATAAAGGAGCTGCCATCCGAGAAGCAGTGATGTACAGAGACTCCTCTGGAAGTAAATATCACTTGATTTTTTAAAGGAATCTTGCTTCAGTCTGCTTGCCAACTCAAAGCCACAGTGAGATACAGAATGCTCTTACCTCTAAGGTTTAGTTTTTCTACTGGTTCTCCATGTTCAAGTTCCTTATTTTTAAAGTATGCGATAGATGTGTCTTTAAAGACAAACCAGTATTGCTTGAAAGCTTTTAATATTAGCTTCTTGGGCCTGCAAATTAAAGTACAATAAGCATTAAGATACTAAATCCCACCACCCAGAACTGCAGACACATTATAAAATTCGACATTAAGGTGCTATACAGGCCTTGTGGATAATGTTCATTATTTAAAAAAAAAAAAAACAGAACACTTTGTGATCTCCCTCCCTCCCTTTCTCTCTCTCTCTCTCTCTCTCTCTCTCTCTCTCTCTCTCTCTTCCTCTCCCCCCTTTCATTTTTGGCAGTACTGGGATTTGAACTCAAATCAAAACTGGGTCTTGTTTTGGCTAGGCATTTGCTGTTGTGTAGATCAAATCCACTGAGCTGGATTCTCAGACTGATAAGAGAGAAATAGGGGTGCTACTATGGTATACAAAAATTCATGCCCGGGCCCAGGAGTTAGAGCTCTAATCCACACTCTAGCCCTGCCCCTGCCTTACCCTGGACGTGTGGGCAAAAGAATCCACCTTCCTGGGCCGTGGGTACCACCTTTATATGATGAGGAAGGTCGCAGTCTGAAACGCGCACACCTTTCATGGAGATGCAGTAAAGTCACCTGTGCGAGGGGCCTCCTATCATGTCTGACCCGACCCAAATGCTCAGTATGTTGTTATGCTGTGCCTGGCAGACCCGCAGGACCCGGCACCATGGGGCGTCTCAGCATGTGTTCTTTTCGTTTCTTTTTTTTTGGGGGGGGGTGTTCTCCTTTCCATGTTTTTTCAATTGTGAAATTACCATACAGAGGGGTTACAATCACATGGGCAAGGTAATGAGTACATTTCTTATCAAGCATTGTTGTCTCCTCCTTTGTTTCCCCTTCCCATCCCTTCCCATCTCCCCCGCTCCCCCACACCCCTGCCAAAGTTGTAAAGTTCGTTTTTTGACATCATGACTTGTACTTCTCATTGTTGCAATGGGTCCACCTGTATCCCTATTTAAACGATTTGTTTTTTCCCTTCCCTTCCACAAAGTATACCAACATCGAATACAGTGAAAGCAGGGGTTATACTGTGGGGGAGGGACATATAAAGCAACTAAGAAATCATCTTATAAATATGTTAGAAACAATCGCAAGAAAGAAAAAACATTTGAATACTTATCTTGGGGTTCATTTCGCCTAACATCAACTTATCTGACCTTTTCTGCTTGTCTTAGACACATACTAGTTATTGGAAATAAGAGAAACCATGGGACCTATGTTTCTTTGGGCCTGGCTTATTTCTCTTAATATAATTTTTTCCAAGTCTTTCCATTTCCTAACAAATGGGGTGGTGTCATTCTTTCTGATGGAGGCATAGAATTCAATTGTGTATATATACCACATTTTCTTGATCCATTCATCTACTGAGGGGCATCTGGGTTGGTTCCATATCTTAGCTATGGTAAATAATTAGCATATTTTCTGGAGCTGAAGATAGCTGTTGCCTCTGACAGCACAGGCTGCACATTAAATGATGTAAAAACCAGTGAAAAGTGAGCAGTCTTTTCTACATAATTGAGTCTTAATCATTAAGAAAAGCCACCAGAAAATTCCCAGCAGACCATCTCTATAGCTCATCTCTATCAACTCTACTGCTATTAAAAGATATATATATATATATATATATGCATATCTATATAATTTTTTGGAGAAGATAGATATCTACCAGTGGTCTCTGTTGTAGTCTGTGATTGACAAGGCTGATGCTCTCCAAAATATGAAATGTGAGTGAGAGCTGGGGAGGGAAGAAGCTACAGATAGGCAGAGAAAAGAAAAATCATGAATTGTGGCTGGGAGCTGGTGTTCATGCCTATAATCCTAGCTACTCAGGAGGCTGAGATCTGAGGATCACGGTTTGAAGCCAGGCTAGGCAGAAAAGTTCCTGTGAGACTCTTATCTCTATCAAACTACTCAAAAAAGCTGGAAGTGGAAGTGGAGCTGTGGCTCAGAGTTCAAGCCCCACCACCAGAACAACAACAAAAAATAGCTGGAAGTGGTGAAGTGGCTCAAGTGGTTGAGTGTTAGCCTTGACCACAAAGAGGTTCAGGGACAGTGCCTAGGCCCTGAGTTCAAGCCCCAGGATGGGCGCGCGCACACACACACACACACACACACACACACACACACACACACTCACACACACACACCCCACACCACACCACACCCCACACCACACCACACCACACCACAAAACATGAATTGTGTACGATTTCATGGAACAAAATCTAACCTAACCCTGGGGCTAGATTACGGTATCTCATATCAGGGCAGGCTTTTGCATTCAATAGGAGAGACAGTTAGCACCAGTGGCTGTTTCCTGTAATCTCAGCTACTTAGGATGCAGAGACCTAGAGGATTGCACTTCAAAGCCAGACCAGGCAGAAAAGTCCATGAGACTTTATCTCCCATTAGCCAGTAAAAAAGGAGGTCTGGAGGCATGCTTCATATAGAAGAGCACCATCCAGGGGCTGGGAAGGTGGCTCAGTGGTAGAGCACATGCCTTGCATGCCTGAGGCCCTGGGTTCGATTCCTCAGCACCATATAAGCAAAAAGAAAGAAGTGGTGCTGTGGCTCAAGTGGTAGAGCGCTAGCCTTGAGCTGAAGAGCTGAGGGACAGCGCCTAGGCCCAGAGTTCAGGCCCCACGACCGGACCCAAAAAAAAAAAAAGAGCATCATCCATGAGCAAGAAAGCCAACCAAGAGAGCAAGGCCCTGAGTTCAAGCCCCAGTTTGGGGAGAAAAAAGTATACAGAAGAAGAATGTAAGCTTGGTGTTACCACGCTTCTGTAGAACATCAGTACTAGTCTTTCCTTAGCTAAAAATATATTGTCATCATAAAGAGAAGGGAGAAGGCTATCATATTAAAACAAACATATGCATAACCCTGCCCTCAAAACTCCAATGCAGGGCTGGGAAGGTGGCTCAGTGGTAGAGAGCTTGCCTTGCATGCTTGAGGCCCTGGGTTCGATTCCTCAGCACCACATAAGCAAAAAGAAAAAAGCCGGAAGTGGTGCTGTGGCTCAAGTGGTAGAGTGCTAGCCTTGAGCTGAAGAGCTGAGGGACAGCACCCAGGCCCAGAGTTCAGGCCCACAATTGGACCCCCCCCAAAAAACAACAAAAAAAAAACAACCTCCAATGCATTATAGGAGAATATTACACTAAATTATAAAGTAAATTTGAAGAACATTGGATGGAGTCCATGTTCCCAAGAATCAGAAAGCTTCTGTACTGAAATAGTATCTATCATGTTCAGAATTGTAATTAATATAATTCTTTGGAAAATGTCTGAAATCTTGAAACTATAATCAAAAGATATAGCTAACAAGGTCTTGGTTTAGTCCTGGGTATATAAATCTTTCTCTCTAACATCAGGAATGAAATTCTCCTATAAGATGTCTTTAAGAGTATCCCCAAATCTCAGATTCCTTCTGTGTCCTTCTGGCTGGAAGCCTGTCTTCCAGACTATTTCCAATTCATCCATAAAGCAAATAATTATTAACCAATAATGACTGGTCTATTCTGAGCTCCAGAGGTTGGGCAGGTGGCATGGGGGAAGTAAAGATGTTGTCTGGCTGGGAAATGATTTACTGAACAACCAGACTGTCTTCTATCCTTACAGATCTCACAATTTAAAGAGAGAAGCACACAAAATACATAGAATTCAATGGAACATGGCAACGCCTGTAAGAAGGAAGTTCTCTGAAGGGGCAGTATTTTAGCTGAGAATGGAGGATGAGTTATGAATTTCTTGGAAGAACAAGAAATAGTCATTTCAGAAGTGGTGATTGCGCCTGGTGAGTACAGGGTGTGTCAGAGCTGGGCACGTTATTCAGTTAAACATTTCTTAAAGACCTTCCTCGGGCTGCGCACTGTAAGGTCATGGAGATGGGGGAGGGGGAGTTTGTGCAGCTGCAATATTTCCATGAGAAGAGTACAAGAGCAACAGGAAAAGCAAAAAAGATAGGGTATAGGGTTAGTGTGGGTCTTTGAATGCCTTGCTGAAGAGCTGGACTTTATTTTCTCGAAGGAGAGTTCAGAGTCTCTGGCACTCATCAGAACAGAAAGGGAATTTGTTAAGAGATGGCTGAGACCCAGACATTCAAAGCCAGCAGGTACGTGTTAGGACCTGGACACCAAGCTGGCTCCCCGTGCCAGTAACAATTGGCCTAGACCAGGAATGAAATGGACACACTCTGTGTGTGTGTGTGTTGTTACTACAGCTTGAACTCAGGGCCTGGGTGTTAACCCTTAGCTTTTTTTCACTCAAGGCTAGCACTTGTGCCAGGTCATCCAGCTAGTGTGTGTGTGTGTGTGTGTGTGTGTGTGTGTGTGTGTGTGTGTGTGTGTGTGTGTGTGTGTGTGTGTGTGTGTGTGTGTGTGTGTGTGTGTGTGTGTGTGTGTGTGTGTGTGTGTGTGTGTGTGTGTTGAAGCTAGGATTCACATTGCCTGTCTTATGCTGAAGCCCATGGTGTTTCCATTGAACCATGAACTTGCCTAATGAATATGCAATCATAGCCAATACTGGTCTCTTCCTCTGAGGAACTACTTTTCTCCTTCAAGATTACTTACCTAAATAATTTCAGATTATCTGCAAGTTTAGGGATATCAGTAATGTCCTCCTAAGGAAAAAAAATAGCATTTAGTAAGCAGAAATTTCATAGACAGGGCTTATATATTATGCTGGTACCACCTAATAGGGTAGCCACTTACTGGATGTAGTTTTGCAATTGTTTTTTTTTTTCTTTTTTGGGGGTTGTTGTTGGTGGTCATGGTGGTGGTGAGGAGTTTGAACTTGGGGCCTGGACACTGTTCCTTAGCTCTACCATTCAACCCACAGTTCCATTTCCATCTTTTTGGTGGTTAATTGGAGATAGAAGTCTTAGGGAGTTTCCTACCTGGGCTGGCTTTGAACTGTGACCCTTAGATCTCATACTCTTGAGTAGGTAGCATTACAGGTACAAGTCCCCACCTCCCAGATTAGTTTTGCAATTGTAGTAAATTCAAATGAAATAAAATGAGAATATCAGTTCCTTAGTCATAGTGGTCACATTTCTACTAGTTCCTTTTGTGGGAGGAGAGGGCTGGGATGGAATGGGGAACACAGGAGTTCTTGGCTATAAAGTTCTGTTTTTTAATTTTGGAATGTAATTTAGGTGATAATTTAATACTGATTAGTATATTTACCTGTTTTTCATTTTTCTGTATGTGTCATACAGGTACATGCCTATAATCCTAGCTACTGGGGAGGGTAAGATTTGAGGATCAGGGTTCAAAGACAGTGAGTCATTGAGACTCTTATCTCCAATTAATCACATAAGAAGTCAGAAGTGTGGCAAGCGGTAGAGCATTGGCTTTGAACAAAAGAAGCTCAGAGGCAGTGCCCAGGCTCTGAGTTAAAGCCCCAGAATGAACACCAAAGAAACGAACAAAAACAAACAAAAAAGCCCCCACCAACATCCTCTGTTCTACCATTCAAGCAGAAAGTCTGAATTTAAAATGATGACTTTCATGCACAAACAGAATTCTTCTTTAAGAAAAATGTAACCAGCCATATCTAGGTCACTGATTAAACCCTACAGGAGCTTGCCTGTTCAAAGTTCATTCGGGGAAAGGAGAATGGGCTGGTGCTTGTGTTCAAACTGAGAAGTCTATTGTTTAGTGGCACATTAAAAAGTATTGAAGGAAGAAGACAGGATTTCCCATGTATAATAAGAAGGATCCATTTCTTGTTCTATTTACTTAATGGTCAGAGTAGCTGCAATTTCCTGGGGCCCATGTCTCTGACCACTGAGATAGAGCACTGTGTGCTGTGTCTCCATAGGCTCTTGGCATTTAGCTTGAATCAAATATTTGTTCTTATATGAAACCAATTTCCTATTTTAAGGCATTTAATGATAAGAGAACCTACAGTGAACACAGAAGAATGTAGTGACTTGTTTTTAATCTGTCAGCACTGTTTGGATCCGGTTACAATGGGCCCACCTTAAATGTGACTAGACGAATAATCATGCCTACCATGGATGAACCATCAGAGTGTCACTCAATGAATGAATCAAACAGGAGGGGAATTCCAATTTCTCATGCTGCTGTTCAGCCATATTTTATGGATAAGGAGCAAAGGATGATCAGCTTTTTTTTTTTGGTGGCATTTGGGCTAGAATCTAGGATCTTGTACATGTTAAGCAAATACTCTACCACTTGAGTCACAACATTGCCCCTACTGCCCCCCCCCAAGTTTTCTATTAAATTTTTTTTTAATTTTCATATTGGTGGGCTGGTCCTCAAACTTTCCATCCACCTGCTGCTTCCTCCTGAGTAGCACACATTACTACACTTGGCTTGATGAACCAGTTATTTTTTATCTTCTACTGGAAGGTTTTTGTTTATCTATTTCCTGAAGTCAGAAAGGTTCAGGAATGCTGAACCACAAGACCCTAGAAAAAGGTCCCCACTTCCATAACTTTGCCCAGTAGAAATCTATGACCAGGTAAATAGATTTTCTTTGTTCTTACAGCAGCCCCATGCCATAGACATGAGAGTTCTTTCTGGATGTGAGGAATCAGTTCCAAGTTCTATGCTAGTGAAGTGTAGATCATAGCAGTCTTTCTCATAGTACCATTCCAACTTGTCCCCAGGAAGAAATAAAATACAAAAAGTATTGTTAGGGTTAGGGCTAGGACTCAAGAGGGAGAGAGCTATTCTAGCAAGTGTGAGGCCCTGAGTTCAAATATCAATACTGCCCCAAAGAGACAAACAAGCAAGCAAACCTCCTCAAAGTACTGTTATTAGTTGTGATGAAAATATCCTATGGTCCCTTGCTGAGATAATCTGAGAAAAAATTAGTTCTTGCTAAGTTTAAGCTTGTCACTTGAAGATCATGTTTTCTCTTTTCCAAATCAGATGAAATAGCCCCTTCTCTCCTAATTTCTTTCTTTCTCTCTCTCTCCCCCCTCTCTTTCTTTCTCTCATTCCTTCTTTCTTCTTTCTCTCCCTCCTTACCTCTTTCCCTCTCCCCTTTCCCTCCCTCCCTTCCTCCCTCTCTTTCCTTCCTTCCTTCCTCTTTCTTTCTTTCTTTTCTCTCTTTCTTTCTTTCTTTCTTTCTTTCTTTCTTTCTTTCTTTCTTTCTTTCTTTCTTTCTTTCTTTCTTTCTTTCTTTCTTTCTTTCTTCTCTTTCTCTCTTTCTCCCTGACTAGTCCTGGGGTTTGAACTTAAGACCTGGGTACTGTCCCTGAGCCTCTATGTGCTCAAGGCTAGTGCTCTACCACTTGAGTCACAGCACCACATCTGGCTTTTTTGGAGTAGTTTATTGGAGCTAAGAATCTTACAGACTTTCCTGCCTGGGCTGGCTTTGAATCACGATCCTCAGATCTCAGCCTCCTGAGTAGCTAGGATAGGCGTGAGCCACTGCTGCCTGGCTTATAGCCTCTTTTTTTCTAATTTTACAAAGCTCATCTATGTTTGTCCAACAGAACAAAGCCACCATTCTGAGTGAACAGGAGAGTTCATACCAAAGTGGTGTCTGCTTTTCCACCTTCAAGAGTCACTTCCAAATTAGACAGTGCTGCTTCGACTTCATCGACCTCGGACTCGTGTGCACAATCCTGGATGTCAGCGGACAATGACAGCTTGCTGATGTGGTACTACAATTAGAGATGTTTAAGAAACGTTATCACAACAAATAGGTCCATAAGCCATTTGCTTTGCTTTGGAGAGAATTCTCCTGGCATCCCCAACATCTCCTGAAAAGCGGACCCTTGCCTGTGGCAGGTCAATGACATTTCCACCTGACCACTTGGCCCACAAAGTCTTCACTTAGTCATGTTCACACTTGGTTTGTCCTCATCACTGACTGGGCACTGTTGGCTCAAGCTTGTAATCCTAGCTCCTCTGGAGGCTGGGATCTGAGAATTGTGGTTCAAAGTTAGCCTAGACAAGTCTGACATTCTTATCTCCAATTAACCACTGAAAACAGTGGAAGTGGAATTGTAGCTCAGGTGGTACAGTGCTAGCTTTGAGCTAAAAAGCTCAGGGATAGCACATAGGCCATGAGAGTGCAAGCCTCAGAGCGTGCGGGCGCACACGCACACACACACACACACACACACACACACACACACACACACACACACACACACACACAGAACTGCACAACAGATACCTTACCTAGGATTTGCACCTGTGCAGATTAGTATTTTCAATTTAAATGTATTCTCTTTGAGTTCACTAATTTCAGCAAAGATGCACACAGCATAAAGAGTACAAAACTTCCATCAGCACTTGGTTTGTCATGGAGTCCCCGTACCTGCAGTGCCGCGAAGATCATCATTTCCTCCTCTGTGCAGTCAATTTCTTCCAGGAGAACTGCCCACCTGGCCTGTTCATAGAGCTGGTTTATCCGGACAGCGTCGTACTAGAGAAAGAGACAGTGTTGAGTATGAGTGTATGCATGTGTGTGTGTGCACGTATGTGTGTGTGCATGTATGTGGTGGGTACATTTATAGCACAAAGATTCTAGAACTCTCCAGGCCATTTTCTTTTTTTTTTTGGGGTCTGGTTGTGGGGCCTGAACTCTGGGCCTGGGCGCTGTCCCTCAGCTCTTCAGCTCAAGGCTAGCGCTCTACCACTTGAGCCACAGCACCACTTCTGGCTTTTTTCTTTTTGTTAGTGTGGTGCTGAGGAATCGAACCCAGGGCCTCATGCATGCAAAGCAAGCGCTCTACCACTGAGCCACCTTCCCAGCCCCAGGCCATTTTCTACGAATCAGGTGCACTATATTTTCATTTAGAAAACTGGGTGGACATTTTATCTTTCCATTGCCACAGTGTCCCACTGTATTCAGTATTTTCTGGAGCTTCTTCAAAGGGGCAAGTTGACCCTTCTCAGTGTTGTCAATGCTGTGGGGTAAGAAAGACTTGTGCAGAAATGAGTGGGTGGAATTCAGGAGGTGGGACTCATGACTCTTAAAAAAGTCTTCGGTTTTTTAAAAATTGTTTTTTGTTTTTGACTTTGCACCAGCAAAGTCAACACCTTTGGCTGGCTCAGCTTTTTCCAAAATGAAACAAAAACCAATATCAGAACAGGTATAGCATCACTATTCCTTGTGGCCCCAAACTGTTAACAATCCAATGTCCCTCACTGAGCTGGCAGATAAATAATGAAATGTGGCCCTGCTATACAATGGAGTGCTACTTGACAAGAAGAGGGAGGACACTGCTGATACAGACAAGCACAGGGAGCCTCAGACGCATGCCTGGTGAAGAATCCATTCACAGAGGATGACAGCCTGTATGGATCATCTGCAGGAAATTTCTAGACAAGGCAAACTTTGAGACAGAAGGCAGATGGCTGGGCCTGGGTAGGCACACTGGTTGGGTGACTGGCCAAAAATATGTTTGAAGGATCTATTTTGGAAAGGTTGTTGTTCTAGTGTATAAACATGTATTAAATGACACTTTTTATACTTACAGTAGTATATAAATTATAGGTCAATCAAGATTAGACAGCTAAAAACACCTCATGCATGATGTGCATGAAACTATCTTCCTGAGTCTTTGAGACACATAGAGAGAGAAAAAGGAAGAAGAATGAAAAGGAGAAGGAGAAGGAGGAGGATGGAGAGGGAGGGAGGAAAGGAAACAGGAGGAAGAGAGGAGAGAGGAGGAAAGAGGAGAGGGAGAGAAAGAGGTAAGAAGAGAGGGAGGGAAGAGCGTTCATATAGATGGATTGCTTTTAATAATAATGTAGTATGGATATGACATAATATATTTAACCAGGTCTCTTCTGATAGACAGTAAGCAGTTTCCCATCTTTTCCTGCAACAAATAATGTAACAATAACTTTCCTTGTATACATATATACTTTTATGGTGCTGAGGACCAAACTCAGGGCTTTGTACTTGCTAGGCAAGTGTTCTTCCATTGTTCTGAATCCCAACTCCTAGAAACATAGTTCTGATAGATATTGCTATGTTGCCTTTCATAGAGGACACTCTAATGTGCATTGACTTAGAATCAAAGTATGAGAACAGCCACCAAATCTTACTTGATTCCATTCTTTAAGGAACACATATTACCCTATCCACTTTGAAAAAGGCTTTTGTTACTAAACTTCAGTGTAACTATTTCATTCTGCACTCTTATGTATTTCAGTATGTTAATTTTGAAAACAGTAGTGTCTTACAGTTTGGGTCCCAGTACCTGATTTAATTCTTGGTATATCAGTCATTATAACAATTAATATAATAATAATATATTACAATAACATAATATAATAACATATACTACTATAATATAATCATATACTACTAATTATAATCAAGTAAGAAATACTGCTGTGGACAAGAAAAGAATCTGGACTAAAGGTTGGCAAGGCAAGATTCACGGACAAGTAGCCTGCAGTAAATGGAGAAGATCAACACATATAGTCAGCACAGGGACAATGCAATGAGGTTGTTCTGCAGTTGTTCAGAGGACCCTTCACTCTGTTTATATTTTCTACAACAGGACACATGCCAGGACATGTGTCTGGACTGAGCACAAAGACCCAGAGAGATTCCTGATAACTCAGGGACAGCTTAGCTTGGGTTCTTGGAAGAGAAAGGTAGAAGCTCAGAGGCCAATGCACATGGATTAGTCTAATGGGTACAGACCAAAAGATCACTCAAGTTATCATTAATTTTGATAGGCAAATGACTCAGGTTTACATACAGCTTGTGGCATCCACCTTAAGAAAGAGATAGAGGGGAAATAAAGCAAAACCAAAAGAAAAAGTTTCTTACTTTAGGATTCAAGTCGAAGAAAGTGTAGTATTTAAATCGTAGCAGTAGTCGCTCATCTTCCTGGATGCCTTGTTCCATAAGAGAGCGTGAGGAATCCAGCCAACTAGAGAATGACACAGTGGGGTTTCAAAGCCAGTCAAGCAGGTTTTTTTTTGTTTGTTTGTGGGTTGGTTGGTTGGTTGTGGGGCTTGAACTCTAGGCCTGGGCTGGACGCTATCCCTGAGCTCTTCAGCTCAAGGCAAGCACTCTACCACTTGAGCCACAGTGCCAATTCCTGTTTTCTGGTGGTTAATTAGAGATAAAAGTCTCATGGACTTTCCTGCCTGAACTGGCTTTGAACCGTGATCCTCAGATCGCCTCCTGAATAGCTAGGATTACAAGCATAAGCCACTGGTGCCTGGCTCATCAGTTCTTATACAAGCCCATTATGTTATGTTATAGATTGCATTATATATGTATATATGTATCCATGTATCCATCCATCCATCCATCCATCCATCCATCCATCTCTATCTGTCTATCTATCCAGCCATCCTCGATCAAAGGCAGAGTAAATGATATCAAAACTAGTAAGCAGGGCTGGGAAGGTGGCTCAGTGGTAGAGCACTTGCCTTGCATGCCCGAGGCCCTGGGTTCGATTCCTCAGCACCACATAAGCAAAAAGAAAAAAGCCAGAAGTGGCGCTGTGGCTCAAGTGGTAGAGTGCTAGCCTTGAGCTGAAGAGCTGAGGGACAGCGCTCAGGCCCAGAGTTCAGGCCCCATGACCGGACCCAAAAACAACAACAACAACAACAAACTAGTAAGCACACAATGATATCTTACATTTTCATCTTGTTTGATAGTTTTTAAGGTGCAATAGAAGAGGGTATAGAATACGTAGAATATATAATTATATCAGGTTAAGATAAAATAGAATAATAATAAATAGAATGTTTTCAGGTCAGGGATACAGATCAGTGGGAGAATGCTCACTTCATACATGCAAGGCTGTGAGTTTGATAATAAGCAAATGAAATCATACATTAAATGGTCATTAGACAACAAGAATATTATGTATTCTTCTTGACACATTGAAATAATCCGCCGAAGGACAGAAGGAACCATAGAATGTTATTATTATGTCAAATATTTTTTTTTGCCTCATTATATAGTTTAGAATGTCTTCAAACTTGAAAGCCTCCTGTTTTGGTCTTCTATGTGCTGGGTTTACAGGTGTGTGCCACAACATCTGGTGTGAGTTCCAAATTTAAGTTTAAATAGTCCCACGTGGCTAATGGATCTTATACTGAATGCTATAATTTTAGAATTCAGGTAATGGTGAAGGGTAGAAACTAAAAGCCAATAACAAAATGATAAAGAGATGGCTGTGGCATAATACCACAGGACAAAAAGTAGCTTGAAGCTCTGTGTTGGTGGCTCACGCCTGTAATCCTAGCTACTCAGGAGACTGAGATCTAAGGATCATGGTTCAAAGCCAGACTGGGCAGGAAGGTCCATGAGACTTTTATGTTCAAATAACCAGCAAAAAGTTGGAAGTAGAGGTATGGCTCAGGTGTTAAGAGTGCTAAACTTGAGTGATAAAGCTAAGAGACAGCACCTTGAGTTCAAGCCCCAGTACTTAAAAAGTACTATGTAGAGTAACTATACGAGTCAGGATGATGAGAAGTTAGTTATACAAAGGTAGAGGTCTTGTCTGTGCCTGCAGCTCCCAGTATTGGGGCGCGCATGTGCATGCACGCGCGCGCGCACACACACACACACACACACACACACACACACAAACACACACACACACACACACACAGAGCTCCATTCAGGTTCTTGCTCCATTCAGGTTCTTTTGGGGAACAAGAATGACTAAGATGTAGCATACATCCTGGCTATAAATCAGCTCTGGTTTTTGCTAACTAAGCATAATCTCCAGGCCTATTAACTTAAAAGAGTTCCTATCTCCGTGGAAACTCTCTATGTCACACAGAAGCAAAATGGAGTCCCATCCTTACCCTGCATTCAGCTTGGCTTTATCAATCAGAGTCCGGGGCTGGTACCTGTCAGCCAGTGCTTCCGGTGACTGAGGAGGCTGGCTGAAGGCCAGGATGTTGCAGTGTTGCTCTGTCAAGGGGCTATCACTGAACCATGTCATGGTGGATGACGCCGGTGTCCCATTGATGGGGTCATAGGTGGGAGTCATGGTCTTACTGTATAAGCCAGGACTTACTGCAAGTAAAGGAACACTCAGATTCGTAGTTATATACTATACATATTAATTAATATTCAGTGTATGGATATGTTAACCAATTTTAGTGCTGGTACTAGGGCTTGAACTAAGGCTTTGTGCTCTTCCTTGGCTTTTTCACTCAAGGCAGACACTCTACCACTTGAGCCATCCTTCCATTTCCATAGAGTAGGACTCTTTATGGGAGGGGGAGTCCATTCCTTGCACTAAAATGAATTTGGACTTTAAAAGTACTATGTAGACTAACCATAGGTGTCAGGCATGAGAAGTTAGTTCTACACAGGTAGAGATCTTGTCTGTGTCTGCAGCTCTTAGAAGTGCAAAGATCTAGAAGTTTCTAAATCTCAATGCAGATAGACGCTGAAGACCATTTCCCTCCTAGCCATGTCAAGTTCTCTAACTTCAGCAGAAGGCTGGACAGCACGGGGGACCTGGCACAAAGCAGCTGCAGGCAGCTCCTTAAGCAAACAGCAGCACCTGCCAATGTTAAGACTTCAGCAGCTAGATTATCTGTCTCTCGTTTGTTTAAAGTACAAAGACCTCTTTTATTCTTCACATTGGAATATACTGTGCAAGAAGAAAGCCACCAGTTTTGCAAGCAAGCTAGAACCTTAATTATTTTGATATAAAAAAGAAAGGGATATGCCTATCCAGAATTTTTTAGCTGACCCCCTCTTAAAGGCCCAATGAAAAATTGAATTCAGGAAAGAGTCACATCAAGACAGAATTATAGCTGGTAGCTGGTGCCTTATGCCTATAATCTTCACTACTCAGGAGGCTGATATCTGAGGATCACTATTTGAAGCCAAGCCTGGGTAGGAAAGTCTGTGAGACTCTTACCTCCAGTAAAAGTCCAAAAAGCCAGAAGTGGAGCTTTGCTGCTTAAGTGGTAGAGTGCTGGACTTGGGGGAAAAAAGCTCAGGGGGTTGGGGGATTTAGTTCAGTGGAAGAGCACTTGGCAAGTGCAAGGCCTTAAGATTGGTCCTCAGCTCTGGAAAAAAAAAAGCTCAGGGCCCTGAGTTAAAGTCCTAGGATCAGGAAAAAAAAAAAAAAAAGAATCACAAAGAGAGAAAAAGAGAAGCAAGTATGTTTGAAAGATCTAACTCATCTGTTTTCTAAATACCACTGTTTTATCCCCAATTCATGGCCAATTTTGCTAAAATTTTGCATTCAGCAGCAACATAAGATATGCAATTAAAATCATGAGTTGTGGAGCCTTTCTGTTGAATATAAGTCTCAAGTAAACTTTTGTGATTTGTAAACCGAACTGGGTATTTCTTGCTTAACTCACTAGTTTTAAAAAAAATGTGTGTGTGTGTGTGTGTGTGTGTGTGTGTGTGTGAGAGAGAGAGAGAGAGAGAGAGAACAAGAGAGAAAAAGAGAGAAAGAGGGACAGAGAGAGGAAGGGAGAGGGAGGGAGATAGAGAGAGAAATTACCTCAAAGCTTAGGTGCTGAGCTTTTGCTCAAGGCTGGAGCTTTATCACTTGAGCCAGAATTCCACTTCTGCTTTTGATGATTATTTGGATAAAAGTGTATCACATACTTTCCTGCCTGGGCTGGCTTTGAACTGTGATTCTCAGATCTCACCTCCTAAATAGCTAGGTATGAGTCACCAGTTCTGCAATCTTCCTTCCTTCCTTCCTTCCTTCCTTCCTTCCTTCCTTCCTTTCTTCTTTTGTCAGTTGTGGGGCTAGAACTCAGGACCTGAGCACTGTCCCTGAACTTCTTTGCGGTCAAAGCTAGGACATAAGAGTAGCACAGGGACTTTCCTGCCTGGGCTGGCTTCAAATCATGATCCTCACATCTCAGCCTCCTGAATAGCTAGGATTACAGGTGTGAGTCACTGATGCCCAGCATTTTGTTATTCTTTTGATGGCCAGAGAGGGTGTCATTTTCCTGTTTGAGTTTTAAGCTACATTCAGAAATCAGAGCAACAACTATTACCTGGTGAACCAGAACTTGTTGAAGAACTCTCCAAGTTTAGAACATCTTCAATAACAGGTTCCTTGTTATTTTTGTCTTTTTTCTTTTTCTTCTTAAAATAGTCCCCAGAAGGCTTTAACAAGGAGAGTTCCTCTGAGCGTCTAATATCTAAAAAACAAACAAACAAAAATAACAAAAACTAAAGAGAGAAGAAAAATAAAGTAGAAGAAAATTTCACAAGATGTTATTTCCCTAGATTAAATAGATGAATCCATAAAAAAGAAGAAGAAAAAGGAAAATTCCTTCTGAGGCCCAGAGTCCCTTTCCTGAGACCTGTTGTCTCAAGAAGTTCCTGAAAGGTAAATGGAAGAAACAATTTGCATCCTTTTTTGAAGAAATAAGGAGAGCAGAGATCCCTATGGAGGCTGGGGCACACAGGGGATGGAGACATAGGTCAAAGTTCAAGGTCAAAGGCTGGCAGGGAAGGGATAGTATAAATAATGCTTCTTCAAGTACTTACTCCCACCTAAACCACTTAGCGTTTTGTTGTTCTAGCGTCATCTGTATAACACCAATTTTTTCTTTCCTTTCCTTCTCTCTCCTTTCCTTTTCTTCTCTCTCTTTTCTTTCTCCCTCTCTTGCTGCTTAAAAATCAAAAACAAAAACAAAAAACAGCAACAAAAAACCCACTAGGCTCACTTCCAAACCCCAAACTTCCATCTAGCCAACCACAAAAGGCTGTCTGTTTTGCTTTGTGGATCATAGGTCCTTCAATTCTTTACCTTCCATATCCCTAAGCAATTTTTGTTGTTGTTGTTGCCAATACTGGGATTTTAACTCAAGGTCTTGGCACTGTCCCTAACTTTCTCTGCTCAAGGCTAGCTAGTGCTCTACCACTTAAGCCACTTTTCCACATTCCAGCTTGTGTGTGTGTGTGTGTGTGTGTGTGTGTGTGTGTGTGTTTAATCAGATATGAGTTTCATGGATTTTTCTGCCAGGGCTGGCTTCAAACTTTGACTTTCAGATCTCAGCCTCCTGACTAGCAAAGATTATAAACATGAGACCCTAGCATCTGGTCCAACAGCTTTTTTACTCTTAGGCCAGACATCTTCATGGCCCCGCTCTCCCTTCTGCCACAGACTTATGGCATTGAGGGCCTCCACTATTCATTTCTCTGCCCCTAGAGCGTGCTCTGACTGCCAGCCACTGCCTGAGCTGCTCCCTGGTCAGGGAATTTGGAAGAGCATAAGATCCTCCTCTGTGGATCTAAACACCTTTGCCCACTAAGAGTGGGAACCCCAGATGCTGTAGTTTCTCCAGTGTGATGTGGCTGGCGAGAGACTATGCTGTTCCTAATCTCACTTTTCCACCCCTTTTTCCTGGCATCAGTCTCCCAAAGAAACCTGACTCCCTATCTCAGGGCTTGCTTCTGGAGAAACCAAACTATGTTAATCTTCTCTTTAGGCAATGTATGAATTTCTGATCAGGTCTGCTGATAACTATTAACAGTACTGAGGGATTCTGATCCTAGGTAAAAGCCAAGGAATGTGGCTGTTTTGTAACTCCTGGGCAGCTTTCCTAGAAGTCCACATACTGACTTCACTCATCCAATCAGGTCACATACTGCTAAGGGCAGAGACAGACTAGCAATGCAGTTTGCCTTTCCCTTTAATCAGCAGATGTCTGATTGTTAGGTCGTAAAACAAACCATTCCAAGGTTGTTGAGGACTAAAGTAATTCCAGTGTAAGAATTAAACATAAAGTTAGGTATGGTGGAAAAATAAGTAAATAAAAAAAAATTCACAAGCTGGGCGCCAGTGGCTCACGCCTGTAATGCTAGCTATTCAGGAGGCTGAGATCTGAGGACTGCAGTTCAAAGCCAGCCTGGGCAGGAAAGTCCGTGAGTCTCTTATCTCCAACTAACTACCAGAAAACCGTAAGTGGCACTGTGGCTCACGTGGTAGAACTCTAGCCTTGAGCTGAAGAGTGCAGGGACAGCTCCCAGGCTCAGAGTTCAACCCCATGACTAACAAAAAAAAAAAAAAAAAAAGGTGTGGTGCTCATATCTGTAATCCTAGCTCTCTGGGAGGCTGAGAGGAGGAGGGTCATAGTTTGAAGACAGCCTGGGGAAAAAGTCTGCAAGACTCTCATATCAACTAATAAAAGAAACAAAAACCTAAAAACTGGGCATGGTGGACCCACAGTGCCTATCATCCATGCTTTGTGCAAAAAGAGGGATGGAACAAGTTTACACTCCCACCAACAATGCAGTAGGGCTCCCTTCTGGCCATATCCCCTCCAGCATCTGTTGTTATTAGAGTTCTTGATTATAGCCATTCTAATTGGGGTGAGGTGGTATCTCAATGTTGTTTTGATTTGCATTTCTTTTATGGCTAGGGAGGTTGAGCATTTCTTCATGTGTCTATTGCCCATTCTTCTTTCCTCTTCAGAGAAGTTTCTCTTTAAGTCTTTAGTCCATTCATTTATTGGGCAGTTGTTTCTTTGAGGATTTGTTGTTGGGGGATTTAATTTTTTGAGTCCCAGGTATATTTTAGATTTGAGACCCTTGTCCGTTGTGTGGTTAGTGAAGATCTTCTCCCAATCCGTGGGTTTTCTATTGATCTTGCTAGCTCTGTCTTTTGCTATGCAGAATCTCTGCAATTTCATGCAATTCCATTTGTCCAACCTTTCTTTGATTTGTTGTGTTTCTGGGTCTCTATTAAGAAAATTTCGGCCTGTACCAAGGAGGCATAGGGTTTCTCCTATTCTATCCTGTAATGTTTTCAAAGTGTCTGCTTTGACTCCAATGTCTTTAGACGAAATGAACCTCAAGATAAGGACACAAATGTTTTTTTTTCTTTCTTGCTATTGTTTCTAACATATTTATAAAGTGACTTTTTTTGTTGTTGTTGCTATGTATGTCCCTCCCCCACAGTATAACCTCTGTTTTCATTGTATTTGATGTTGGTATAATTTGGGGAGGGGAAGGGAAAAAACAAATTGTTTAAATAGGGATACAGGTGGACCCATTGCGACAATGAGATATACAAGATGTATGTCGAAATAACGAATTTTACAACTTTGGTGGTGGGGATGGGGGAGGGTGTAGTTGTGGAGAGGGGAAAGCAGGGATGGTAGGGGAAAAACAAAGGAGGAGGCAACAAAGCTTGAAAAGAAATGTGCTCATTACCTTGCTCATGTAATTGTAACCTCTCTGTACAGTATTTTCACAATAAAAAAAACTTATTTAAAAAAAAAGAAAAAAAAAGAGGGATGGAAGTCTAGGTTGGCCTGAGTAAAAGTGAGATTCACCCCGCCAAAAACAAACCAACCAACCAACCAACCCAACAACATAGCAAAAAGGACTGGAGGTATGGCTTAAGTGATAAGAGTGCCTGCCCAGCAAGTGCAAAGCCCTGCGTTAAAGAATTAAATATAAAATAACAAAACAACAAGAAAAGAACCCTTGTTATCTCCTGTGGCCCAAGATCTGTGCTTGGGAAATTTGTTCTCCCAGGGAAATTCTATTCTGATAAATTTGATTTGGCTTTAGCCTTCAATCGCTCCGATATAAAATCCATGAAGAGAAATATCAAGGAGTGGCTGGCATCATGGTTCACACCTGCAATCTCAGCACTTGGAAGATGGAGGCAGGAGAATTTTGAGTCTAAGCCCAGATTTGACTACATATAATGAGTATACCAGCTGTCTGGACTATATAACAAGATCCTAGAACAGATAGACAGACAAGCAGGTAGGCAGGAAGGCAGGCAGACAGACAGATGGACCAACAGATAGACAGACGGACAGATAGAAATGCTAACAGGAGCCCTTAAAACAACTGCAAGTACCTAAACGGACAAAGAGCCCTGTGTCTACTGCTGTTCATGTAGTTCTGGTCCACTGTGGATGTGGAACAGATCCTTTCATTGAATTGCTTGCTTTGTTTTCAAAGCTTCATTAGAATGCCACTGAAAGCAGGTGTCTTTGTGCTTGTCATTGGCCTGCTGTGCATTGGGACACAATTACAACCATGATGTTTGCAGTGGGAGGCTTCATCCATTGGTTCACTCAACAGTTTTGGGGCAGCTGGTGTGAAACCACACATTGTGTCAAAAGTCAGGATCCAGGATGTCAGGAAATGGGTTCTGCTTCTACCCTATTTCCTGTTCTCAATTCTGGTCATTCTTTTCACCTTTTCTCTATCTCCTCCCTTCAACATTCTATCTTCTTCTTCTTTTTGGGGGGGGATGGGAGTGGGGTCGGTCATGAACTTTGGGCCTGGGTGCTGTCCCTGAGCATTTCAGCTCAAGGCTCTACTTCTTGAGCTACCGTGCCAGTTCCTGTTTTCTGGTGGTTTATTGGAGATAAGAGTCTCATGTACTTTCCTGCTTGGGCTCAGCCTCCTGAGTAGCTAGGACTATAGGTGTGAGCCAGCGGTACCTGGCTTTTTTTTTTTTTTTTTTTTTTTTTTTGTGGCACTAGAGTTTGAACACAGAGCCTGGTGCTTGTTAGTCAGGTGCTCTACCTCTTGAACAATGCTCCAGCCCTTTTAGCTGTAGGTTGTTTTTTTTTTTTTGCATAAGATCTCATTCTTAGGCCTCAGTGTGTTGGATTGCAATCCTATTTACACTTCCTGCATAGGTGGACAGGTATGTACCACCACACACAGCGTTAGATTGGTTTAGGTGGTTTTGTAAACTTTTGGTAGGGCTGGCTGCAAACAGTGAATCTACAGGTCTGAAACATGGTGCTCAGCTCTATGCTATATTCCTTTCTTATGCACATTTATCAGTTACTTTAGCTGTGCCTGCTAGCGTGGGAGCTCCACAAAGGCAGGGACTTCAATGATGTTTACCGCTAAGCCTCTCCACCATTCCCCACACTGCCTGCCACATACGAGGTGCTCAGTAAATACTTGTTGAGTGAGAGAATGAAAGGTTAGGAAGAGGTTATGCAGTGATAATGTCCTGAAATGTTGACTTTGGCCTTTGGTACCAGAGAAGATACATATACAGGTCTAAAAAAGTTTAAAATCAGATCATGGTCTTGGCACAAGATCTTCTCCTTTTATGATGTCTCACAAACAAACGTGTTGTCTTAATGACTGCTGACTGCCATCTTATGGGATACCAACCCATAAAGAATTAGGTTTCCAGTCTCAATCAAATGCACCAGGGACTCGAGGAAACAGAATTATTTACTAGAATTGGGTGGGAACGAGATAATTAAGATGTGGAAACACGGCCATCTCCAAGACAGTAGAGACTCACCAGTCCTTTGGTGATGGAGTCAAAAACCTCCACCTTTCCTTAAAAAAGAATGATAAGAATATATATGGAGAAAATGAATTGAGGGAAAAGTACCAATTTTAATGGCTGTACTTGCAAATGTCTTTTGAAATAGTCTTCAGCTTGTTAGGAATGAATCTATCCTATGCCATTAAGGTTTTATTTGTGCCAGTACTGGGGCTTGAACTCCTGGCCTCACAATCTCCTTTGGCTTTTTTCTTTTTTCGTTGCTCAGGGCTGGCTCTACCACCTGAGCCACACCTCAGCTTTCAGCCAATCAAGATTCATGTGGTTTTGTTCCACTTCACTGGGCTTGGATGTTGTGCCTCCTATTGAAGCAGGCAAAAAGTACAGGTCACTGTCCTGTCTTCCATTGGGGACAGTCTCAGGGGCTCTGGAGCCCTCCGGGGTACTCACTCAGGGCTTTACAGATGTCACCCACAGCCTTGAACACCACGGCAGAGAAGCTGACGCGCAGCCTCACGGTCTTCCCATTGGGCAGGCGGAGGCGTAGCATCTTATGCTGAGGGGTGAAGAGAAGCTTGGCGTCTGCCTGCACGCCACACTTGTCCAGAGTCCAGTGGGTTTTCAGGAGCCAGCAGTTCTTCTGTTCCCACCAAAGAGCAAAGTCTGACCAGTCTTGGGCTATGTCTGGAAAAAGATGGACAACCCACATATCAGATAGAATGCTGCGCATGGAGGGTCTAGGCAGCTCAGAGTCTGTGTTCTGGCATATAAATACTGAACTGAACACAGGTCTTCAGCTACCATCTTCCTGCAGAGATCAAAGCTCAACTGTCCCCAGCTTCTCTCCAGTGTCTCCAAGACAAAGTGGGAGAAACCAAAGTGTGAACCTTATATGTAAGGCAGGAGCCTTACATAACTTTGTGTGTATGCGTGTTTGTGTGTGTGTATGTGTGTTGGTACTAGGGCTTGAACTCAGGGCCTGGGCATTATCCCTTAGCTTTTCCACTGAAGGCTTGTGTTCTATCACTTGAGCCACATCTCTACTCTAAGCTTTTTGTGGTTAATTGGAGATAAGAGCCCCACAGACTTTTCTGCCCAGGCTAGCTTCAAATCTCTAACCTCAGATCTCAGCCTTTTGAGTAGCTAGGATTATAGGTGTGATCTGTTGGCACCTGGCTAGAACATAACTGTTGTTTATGATGAATGTGCAAGTTCTTTTTCCTAAAAATTTCTGTGCCACTGATTTGTTAGGAAATGGAAAGACTTGGAAAAAATTACAGTAAGGGAAGTAAGCAAGCCAGGCCCAAAGAAACATAGGTCCCATGGTTTCCCTTATTTGCAATAACTAGTATATGTCTGAGACAAGCAGAAATGGTCAGATAAATTGATGTTAGGCAAAATGAAAGATAAGGACTCAAATGGTTTTTCTTTCTTGCAATTGTTTCTAACATATTTATAAGATGATTTCTTTGTTGCTTTGTATGTCCCCTCCCCCATGGTATAACCCCTGTTTTCACTGTATTTGATGTTGGTGTAATTTGTGGAGGGGAAGGGAAAAAACAAATTGCTTAAATAGGGATACAGGTGGACCAATTGCAACAATGAGATGTATAAGACGTTATATCAAAAAACGAACTTTACAACTTTGGCGGGGAGGTGGGGGAGATGGGAGGGCAGGGATGGTAGAGGAAAAACAAAGGAAGAGGCAACAATGCTTGATAAGAAATGTACTCATTACCTTGCTCATGTAATTGTAACCCCTCTGTATGGTATTTTCACCAAAAAAAAACTTATTAATTAAAAAAATCCCTGACTTCAGTGGTTGTGCTATGATGATGTTGAGAATGTCCTTGTTCTTAGGATGTATTGACACTGTGATGGCTTTGACTAAAACTTCATTGGGTAATCCTAGCTACTCGGAAGGGTGAGATCTGAGGATCATGGTTCAATTATCTCCTATTAACTACCAAAAAATATCTAGAAAAGGAGCTGTGATTCATGTGGTAAAGCACTAAACTTGAAGTGAAAAATACCATACAGATCCCAAGCCTTGAGTTCAATTTAAAAATAATGATTGGAGAAGAAGGCAAAAGATTGTCAAAACCAAGAGTAAAATATGTCCTAAGAGCTTGGAGATTACCATCTAGGATGCTTAACCAAGAATGCCTCTTTTAGATGACTTTTTCTTGTGATTTTTATTTGTAGGCAAAAAGTATTGACTTAGAGAATAAAAACCTAAGCCAAAGGTCCAAAAGAAGAAAAAGCCTATCTTGTGCATACCTATAAAGCAGGAGTCAGTTGAGGGGATTGAAAAGAGCATAAAGAAGAACTCAGTGCCCGCAGAGTTTGGGATGTCAGACCAGGAGAGCAAAGAAACAGCCCAGAAACCATTGTTACTCTGTGGCCTCATTTCTGTATGTGCAGAATCAAGCGTCGATTCACTAAATCTTAGGATTTTGTCATGACTAGGAAACTAAGCTATGTCCTTACTCAAACTTCTCCATCTCACCTGTCTGATTTCCCAACTTCTTAACTTAGCTCATGTCTTTAGTGCTTTTGGAAATCGTATTAATTTTCCTTAAAGCTTTATTTCTCTAAAACAAATACTCTTAGAGTGTTAAAGGAGATCTGGTGAAGCATTTGGCTTTGTTGAATCCATCTCCTTTCTCTTATAGAAATGTATCCTGACACTGTTGAATGGCAAGAAGCATCAGTGTTCTCACAGAAATTCTGTAAGACTGACATTTCACTTTTCTATGATGCTCAATTCTAGCGATATCTCAGTGGAAGCATGCCTATGGCCTTAGAAGCCAGGAGAGTGGTCACCCTTAGTAACAACAGTAACAAAAATACCCAGCAGAAATGTCCACAGAAAGACAATGATTGTATATGCTCACATCTATGGGATCTGAAGATGGAGATGACTCAGAATTCCATCAATGGATATATTACATCAGAGTCATGCAAAAAAAATATTATACAGCTATAAGATGAAATGATTCCAAACAATGTACAAGAATCTGGGAAAGGGGCTGGGAAGGTGGCTCAGTGATAGAGCGCTTGCCTTGCATGCATGAGGCCCTGGGTTCGATTCCTCAGCACCACATAAGCAAAAAAAAAAAAAGAATCTGAGTAAATATCTCATATATCATGTTGAGTGAAAGAAAGCAGATGTGTAAGAGTGTATCCTGTACAATTCCATTTGCAAGAAGTCCAGAACCAAGCCACTGGTGTTAGAGGGCAGGAGAGTGTTCACCCTTGGGCTCACTGTGACTGGGTGGGGCTTGGGAAGGGGAACAATTTCTTGATCTTCGTGATGATTACATGACCCACAACTCATTGAACCGGACCCTTGAGATCAGTACACTTTTCTGTATGCAAATCACACTGCAGAAAGACTTGTAAAACAGATTTTCATCTCTGTAAAAATGCAAAGCCATATCCCAGGTCTTAAATAAAAGTTAAAAGAAATACAGAGAAAACAATGCACCCTTAAATGTGGAGTCCATCATGGTGACTTCTGACTGTGAAGAGTATGACCTGCAGACTTCTCTTTGCTTAGAAACGGGCAATAGCACGCGATCATATGGTAACTGTCTTCTCAGGAACATTTCTATGTTATAAAATGCATTAGCAGAGCTGGGCAGCCCCAGTGGCTCACACCTGTAACCCTAGCTACTCAGGAGGCTGAGATCTGAGGATGGTGGTTTGGAGCCAGCTGGGGGAAGGAAAGCCTGTGAGACTCTTATCTCTAATCTCTTATTTCTTATCTTAATCCTGGGGTAAGCTGGAAGTGGCACTGTGACTAAGTGGTAGAGCCCTAGCCTCGAGCAAAAAGGGTGCTCAGGGACAGCCAGAGTTTGAGCCCCAGGACTGGAAAACAAATAAATAAAGCGTTAGCCGGGAGAGAGTGAGGGGAGGAGTGACTTTGTCCAAAAAGCAATGTACTCTTTACCTGACTTATGTAACTGTAACCCTTCAGTATATCACCTTTACAATAACTATAAAAATTAAAAAAGGCATCAACTAAAATGCATTAGCAGAAGATTACCAGCACTGAACAACCAAGCCTTAACAGTAGTCACCCTGTTTGGCTAGACTAATAAAATGGACTAATGAAATCCACAACTGAAATGTTTGCCAGACAATTGTTAGCCCAGTGCCAGTGGCTCACCCCTGTAGCTACTCAGGAGACTGAGGTCTGAGGATCTTGGTTCAAAGCCCGCCCAGACAGGAAAGGCCACGAAACCCTTATCTCCAATAAACCACCAGGAAACTGGAAGTGGCACTGTGGCTCAAGTGGTAGAGTGCCAGCCTTGAGCTGAAGAGCTGAGGGACAGTGCCCAGGGCAGAGTTCAAGCCCCATGACTGACCCCCCCCCACAAAAAAAAAGACAATTGTTACATATTCTACTATTTGTCAGAGCTGAAAATAAATTGTGGCAGCATGACCACAGTAGTCTAATTCCTCATCAACTGAAATCATGTGTCATGTTATTGGTGGACTGGGTCATGTGGAAATACAGCATCGTATGCACATACATACTTGGGAGATTTAGTATGCCACCAAAGATTCCATGTTGCTTTTCTTTTTCTTTTTTGAGATAAGATGCAGCCCAGCCCAGGCTGGCTTTGAACTCAGGATTCTCCTGCCTCGGTCTCCGCAGTCCTGTGATCATTGATATGTATACCACCATGCCTTGTTCAAGAATCATGTTTTGACAAATGCTGTTCAGTGTAGTTTCAAGCTCTTAGCTGGGTGATGGTCCTATAATCCCAGCTATTCAGGAAGCTGAGATCTAAGGATTGTGTTTCAGAGCTAACTGGGGCAGAAAAGCCTTTGAGATTCTTATCTCCAAGTAACCAGCAAAATGCCAGAAATGATAGCGTGGCTCAAGAGGCAGAGCAACCAGTCTTGAGCAGAAAGCTTAAGGAATGGCATCCAAGCTTTGAGTTCAAGCCCTAGTACAGAAACAGATGTGTGTATGTGGGCGTGTACACACAGACACAAAAGGCTCTCGGCCCTTCCATTCTCCTTTCTCTTTCTGAGAAGACCTGGGTGGTGGGGTGTAGGGAAAGGACAAGCACATTCTCTGAGTGGCCAGAAACATGTGAATGCTCAGGCAGCCTTGGCTAGCCAGGTAGCAGTGATGTATCAGAGGGCTACATACACACAGCAGCCACTCAGAAGCAGTAACTCACTGATCTGGTCCACCAACTTGAGCATCACTCCCCCGATGTGCAGGTCTCCGGACACTCTCAGTGTGACGTCAGTCTGTTCCTCTTCATTTGGGTGGTCCACTCGGACCACGAGCTCCCAGGAAGCAGAGGCGAAGTCACCGGATGCTAGCATTATAGCGAAGGAAGGCCTCTTTTGGGGTTGGGACGCAACCGACTGGGCCAGTAGACCCTGAAGGACAAACATACTTTTGTTTTTATTTTTCATTTTAAGTTTCTTCTTCCAACAAACTCTTGCCAGATTCCTGGTGCCCAGGTATCAAATTCTGGAAGCTTAATGATAAAGACAAAAAGCCTTGTAAAACTCGTCTCAAACCCTGTAAATGTGTGTATTTTATCTTTCCATTCAGTGCCACGCATCCAAGACCACTTGACTGTAAATGTCCTTTATCTTTCAGGCACACCCACATCCACTTTCCCTTTCTACTGGCCTTTTCTGGTCTTTGAATTATTCGAACCAGAGGGAGTAAATACTGGCAGTGTTCCATGATACATTAAAATGATCAACTTTATGGAGATATGTCTTGTGTATAATAAAAACGCACAGATTTTAAATGTACATAGTTCAGTGAATTTTGTTATATGTAAATCATACCTCAACAAAGTGCATTTTATCCAGGAGCTAGTGGCTCATGCCTATAATCTTCACTACTCAGGAGGCTGAGATCAGAGGCTTGAGGTTTAGAACCAACTTGGGCAGACAAAGCCGAAAGACTCTTATTTCCAATTAACTAGCACAAAATCTGGAAGTGGAAATGTGGCTCAAGGGGCAGAGTTCCTGCCTAGGAAGTTCGAGGCTCTAGGCTCAAACTCAAGCACAACCAAGTTAAAGAAACACAAAACAAAAAACAAACCAGGGTAAGACAGACCTAGAAAGCTTAAGTCTTCAAAGTACAGATGGGGGTGGGAACTTCAAACCTCTATTTGTCTACTTACTGGAGGAGCCACAGAGAAAAATGGCTGTAGCCAAACGGACATGCTTCTTTTTGGAGGGAGAGGGGGAAGTGGTTATAGGAACACTAGAAGCCAAAACTTACCAGAACTTAAAAAGAACTTGAGATGTATTTTCTTTGAAACAGAAAACAATATTACTGATCTAGGCTGTTTTAAAGATTTAAAATAAAAACCATTCAGATGACCATGCGGATCTTTCCCTTATACTCAGGTGGCTTATGAGGAGCCTATGTTTTTCACAAAGGCCTGCACCAAGGAAGGCAGTGTGTTCTGCCCTAACTGTGGGTATCTTGAAGATTCTCTTCAAGAGGGCTGTGCACTGTACTCAGTGACTGTTTCCAGCTGACTCCAGGTGCTAGGAGCTATGGTGACTCACACTGAATCATAACAGCCAAGTGAAAAAAATACGCTCCAGAGTTCAGGTGCCTTCAATCCAGTAAATCATGACCAAAGTGGTATTATGATAACCCCTGAGGGACATTGTTTTTTGGTGTTATTGGGTGGGGGGGGGGAGGGGTGAACTCAGACTTTCATGAGCTCCACCACTTGAGCCATGCACCCCAGACATTTTGCTTTTAATTAAAACTTTTTTCTACCCTCCCTCCCTCTCTCCCTCCCTCCCTTCCTGCCTCCCTCCCCGCCTTCCTTCCTCCTTCCCTGGCTTCCTCCCTCCCACCCTTCCTTCCTTCTCTTTATTGACAGTGTCTTATACTTTTGCCCAGTTGTTTTTGGATGGAGATCCTCCTACCTTTGCTTCCCAAGTAGCTGGGAATACAAGCATGCTCACCATTCCTGACCACGAACATTATTTTGTAATAGTTAAGAACTGAAATACCCGTGCCATACCAAGTTGGTGTTCTTTTGAAACTGCACATTTGAAAGCAGTCAGAGAATCTCAAATACACTAAATAGATAAACTGATCAATGCTAATCTATAAGTTGATGGCTGTGAACCCTTTGGGATAGATTTAATGTGACTGAACCAAATTCAAGTGTTCTGAAGTAACTCCTTCTGTTTTTTTTTTTTTTTTTTTTTTTTTTTAATAATTGGACAGACCCTGCAGGGTGGCCACTTGTACAGCTTCCTAATGGATTGCCATTGGTGATTTCTAGGTGCTGTTCTCTGCATTTCCTGTCCTGTTACCTCCTTTACGGTCTCCTTCCTCTCCACTTACAAATGAGGAAACCGAGGCTCTGGAAGGTCATGTTACTTGCCACACAGTTTGATGGTGGAGCTGAGACATTAATCTATGTCCTTCTTACTCCAAATGTATCCAGCACTTTGGGAAATCGCTTGGATAATTTTGCAAGACCAATATAAAAGCACTGTTCAAAAACCACACCAGTGAAACTCTCTGTAGTTTCTATCCACGCAAATCATTTCTAACTAACACAGCGCTTTTTAAAAGTTATTATATATAACATAATATATTACAATATATTACTATATCCCCTTCATAGTTACATCTCTGAGCTTGTTTTTGAAGAACTTTAAGATCTCTAAGATCATCTGAGATGTCATTTTTCCCCCCAGAATATTTTGTACATAAATAAAGGCATAAGTAACCTTTCTTTTAAGATGACTCCTTTGTTGATTGTATCATGGGTTACCAGACACGAGGTCCTCTCCTTTCCTAATCCCAGACATCAAAACACTTCTGTAGGAAACTGACAATGATTCTCTTACAATAAAAATTCCACCCCAAACCAGACTATCACATTCTTTCCTATCATTCTGTGCCCGCGCTGGGGCGAACTTTTCCTCCCCAGCAAGCTGTTACTTGTTGAAGAGAAACAGCAAACTTCAGCTGGGGGGAAAACACACTTAGGGAGACCAAAACAAGAAGAGTTGATCCTAATAAGCAGCCAGCTTCCTTCCCTGGAAGTTCCAGAAAGAGAGGAGGGAGGGGGAAGGTGGGAGAAATACCCCCCAAGGCTTCCCCCCTGGAAGGTGGCAGGGTGCTTGGGATCAGAGATCGCAGCTCCGTTTGGTTTTAGCCAGAGTCGCCAGGGCGTTGGGGAGGTTGTTAGGTGGACAGAAAAGGTACTGGCCGGCTGGAAGGGAAATCCAACTTGCTTAATTTTTTAAATTTTTGGCCGGGTGAGAGAAGGTAGACAACACCGGAGAGATTATTTCCCATATCAACTGCGATTGCATTGCAAAAGGCTGCAGAAAGTGTGGGGACGTGGTGTGCGGTACCCCTCTCCCGACCCCCCTCTCCATCTCCATCCCTAGTCCAAGTACCCACCTCCTTTCCCACACCGGGCAGGTGGAGTCCTTTTCTTTGCAGAGGGGCACGTGGACACTTGGAAGCTCCAGGCTGTGGACACCCGGGGCCGATCCAATCCAGGTGTGTGTGTGTTGTGTGTGTGCTGGGTGTGTGTGTTGGGTGTGTGTTGTGTGTGTGTTGTGTGGTGTGTGTGTTGCGTGTTGGTGTGTTGTGTGTGTGTGTTGTGTGTGTTGGTGTGTTGTGTGTGTTGTGTGTGTGTAGTATGTGTGTGTTGGGTGTGTGTGTGTGTATGGGCGCACAGATCTCCCACCGACGGTGGGGTGGGGGAGTTGGGTCGGCCTGCGACCGATTTCGGTCTCGATAACCTCGAATACCGTTTCTGGTATCACGGTGAGCGATGACGAAGCTCGGTCTTTGCAGCCCGGGTGCACGGTCTCCGCCCCTGGCAGCCAGACCCGGGGAGGCCAGCGCGCGCCCGCCGGGGCAGGCAGGCGAGGGCACGCCCAGCCCCGGGCCTGCTTGGTCTTGCTGCGTGGGAAGGGAGGCGCGGCGCAGGCTGCAGGCCGGGGCGGGGAGCGGGGAGGAAGAAAAAAAGTAGCCTCTGGGCTGGAGGAGGTGGAGGGTGGAGGAGGGACACTCATCGCCCACAGCCCCAGCGCGCCCCGAGGCGCCCCAAGAGAGACTCCACTTCCTGGCTGGAACCCCTGTCTGCTTTTCTCCGTGCCACCGGCAACCTGTGATCTCAGCCAGGTGGGAGAGACAGAAGCGATTCATCGGTGAGTAAGCGCCATGTAAAGCCCCAGGAAGGGAGGAGGGAGGCGTCCAACGTGGAGGACCCCCTCCCCCAAGTGCCACCCCAAGTGCTGTGCTCCGTTGCCAACAGTCTGGGCCGCGCCCCGGAGGCTGGTTCACCTCGCGTTCACCAGCCTGTCTGGCCGGTCACTCCCCCAGTTCAATGAATTTCCAGAGTACTGGGCTCTTCAGCAAGGGCGGGTGACGTTGGAGATTTACACAACCAGTCCCAGCCTCTCTTCCCTTCTCCCCTACCAGGCTGTTGTGCTATACGGTTGCCGGATGCCTGGTTGGGGCTGGGCTCTGAAGGTACTTGGGAAGGGAAGGGAAAACAGGAATCTCACTTCTTCATCTGGAAAATGGGTCGGTAGGATGGAGTACCCACCGTTCCTGGAATTTTATGTAGTGTAATGCAGACTTCAGTGCAGTGAGTTATTATTTTATTTATTATTGCTATCATCATCGTCATCATCATTTTTTCGGTGCCAGTACTGAACTAAGGGCCTGGGCACTGTCCCTGAGATTTTTATTTTTTTATCTTTTATTTCAAAGCTGGCACTCTACCACTTGAGCCACTTCTAGCTTTTAGGTGGTTAATTGGAGATTAGAGTCTCATGGACTCCCTGCTTTGAGTTGGCTGTGAACTGTGATCCTCAGAGCTCAGCCTCCTGTGTAGCTAGGATTACAGGTAGGAGTCATTGGTGCCCAGCAAGTGAGTTAAATTTTAATGCAAAGGTAACATTTGGAAGTCGAATATCTACTTGCTTGGACATTACCATGTTCAGAAATTGTTTAGATTTGAATGTGTTGTAAATTTAAAGGGCTAGGGAGTGGCTCACCTACCACCAGCACTGTACAAACATATTAAAACATTAATTTGCTGGGTGCTGGTGCCACTCAGGAGTCCTAGATCTGAGGGTCACAGTTCAAAGTCAGCCTGGGCAGGAAAGGCTATGAGACTTTTATTACCAATTAACCACCAGAAAACTGGAAGTGACACTGTGGTTCAAAGTGGTAGAGTGCTAGCCTTGAGCACAGAAGCTCAGGGACAGTGCCCAGGCCCTGAGTTCAAGCCCTACAACTAATAACAACAACAACAAAAAGTGTTTAAAAAGTTTAGCTGAATATTATCATTAAATTAGGGACCTTTATGGACTAAAGTGGGAGATGGTTTAGGTGTTTGAGAGCTGTGTCACTAAGTGAAATAATGTTTCACGCACAGCTGCGTGTCATGGCTCATGCCTGTAATCTTAGCTACTCATGAGGCTCATGGTTTGAAGCCAGAAAGAGCAGAAATGTCAGAGACTCTTTTTTTTTTTTTTTGGTCGGTTGTGGGGCTTGAACTCTGGGCTTGGGCGCTGTCCCTGTGCTCTTCAGCTCAAGGTGAGCACTCTACTGCTTGAGCCACAGTGCCACTTCCGGTTTTCTAGTGGTTTTATTGGAGATAAGAGTTTCATGGCCTTTGCTGCCCGGGCTGGCTTTAAACTGAGATCCTCAGATCTCAGCCTCCTGAGTAGCTAGGATTACAGGCGTGAGCCACCAGCGCCCGGCTGTGTCAGAGACTCTTATCTCCAACTAAACACCTTTACTTTTTTTCTCTCTTATAAATAAGCAGACACCCAAGTGTACACATACACACACCCTCACTTTTTTTCTCTCTTGTAAATAAGCAGAAACCCAAGTGTGGAGGTGTACAATGATCATTCCAGAATTCTGGAGGCAGAGGTAGGAAGACTACCACAAGTTTGAGGCCAGCCTGATTACACAGTCAAGATCCTTCACACACCAAACCAAAAACTCACCAAAACAGCATAAATAAAATCCCCCAAACTAAAACCCAAGCAGGGCCATCATTCTGGATATGTTATTTAATTAGTGCAAAAACTCTCTCTCTCTCTCTTTTTTTTTTTTGCAGTCTTGGGGCTTGAACTTAGGGTCTGGGCGCTGTCCCTGAGCTTCTTTTGCTCAAGGCTAGCATTCTACCACTTGAGCCACAGCACCACTTCTGGCTTTTTCTGTGTATGTGGTACTGAGGAACTGAACCCAGGGCTTCATGCAAGGCAAGCCCTCTACCACTCAGCCATATTCCTAGCCCTAATGCAGACATATTACTAAGCAATAGATTTAACTACCCAGCCACTCTATCTGCTAGATACTGAATAGTTATGGAAGCAGGCCCAGCCTTCATCTTCACGCTGAAGTATGCAAGGAAGGAGCCCAGGAGCCCGGTGTCTGCTTCGGGCATCTGTGCAGACTGCTCAGGGCAGGGCACTGGGCTTCAGGAAGGAAGTTGAATTTGAGAGAGTATGAAATTTTGGATAAGATTTTGGTGGATACCCTTGGATGCTGTAGTTTCTCAGAAACTGCTTTAAGTTTTAGTTTGTTTGCTTTTGGTGTTGGTAATTCAATCCAGGCAAGTGCTCTACCACTGAGCTACATTCTCAGTCAAGGTCTCTCTCTCTCTAACTCTCATTCTGTGTGTGTGTGTGTGTGTGTGTGTGTGTGTGTGTGTGTGTGTGTGCCAGTCCTGAACTCAGGGCTTCAAGCTTTCCCTTAACATTTTAAATGCCAGTGTGGGAGCTTGAACTCAGGGCCTGGGCAATGTCCCTTTTTTGTTCAAGGCTATTACTCTACCACTTGAGCCGCAGCTCTACTACTGGCTTTTGAATGGTTTACTGGTGATAAGAATCTCTTTTCTGCCTGAGCTGGCTTTGAACCACAATCCTCAGTTCTCAGCCTTCAGAGTAGCTAGGATTACAGGCGTGAGCCACCAATGTCCAGGTCTCCTTTAGCTTTTTCACTCAAGGCTGGTGTTCTACCACTTGAGCCACAGCTTTATTTCCAGCTTTTTGGTGGTTAATTATAGGTAAGAGTCTCATGGACTTTTTTTTGTGCTGGTTGGCTTTGAACCTCAATCCTCAGAACTTAGCCTCCCGAGTAGCTAGAATTACAGATGTGAGCTACCTGGCTTCAAGTTTTTTTTTTAAAATTAGTACCTAGTTATTATATTTCAGGTTAGCAAAAGATACATGTGTGTGTGTGTGTGTGTGTGTGTGTGTGTGTGTGTGTGTGCATATATAGAGAGAGGGGGACATTGTTAGTCTTGACATCAAAATTTTTCATGTTCCTGAAACAAATATTGCAATCCTATCTATTACCCGTCATCTAGATGCTGAGGAACTGGCAGGTGTGTTGTTAGTACCTTCATTAGGGAAAGCTGTGGCTACATTGCCATGTGGAATGTCAGTGGGCTGGACTGATGAGAAGTGTGACCATACCCTCTATTCATCAAACACAACTGAGAACCAAACAAGCAAAGGCCCTTCGAGAACCATCCCAGCTACTTTCATTTGCCAATCACACATAACTTGCTTCCTCTAGCGCCTCCCCTTCCATTAGCTGAGCCATCGAAGTTAAAAAATAATTCTCTATATGCTATAATTTAGATAGAACAAGAAAGCTGCTTGAAAGAATAAAGAGGTAGTTTAACTTTTTGATGAATGGTTTTATTTGACAAAACGAATGCAACATACATTTCTCCATTAATCTTGAGCTCATACATATGCTAAAAGTCTCCCAATTGAGTACGAAATGGAATAAGACACATACAATGTAATTTGCACGAAACCACAGCTGTGTACATGTTGGCAGAGAATGTAATTTTTACTTCATTAGATATTTATTCAATGACAGTTTCTCTGGTTTCTGTAACACTTCACATGGTAAGCAGAGACATGTTAAATAATCTGGGTTATTGATAGCTCTCTCTCCTCTCTTGTGGAACTCCTCATTGGTAAAGCCTCGTCTTTGAAGGCACAGGAACCTCTAGTTTCTTGGGAAAGAATGTGTTTTGTTCCTTGAGAAGAAATAGAATGTGCTTATTATAGCTACTTTATGCTTCCCAGCTGGGTGGATAACCAGCACTTTCTATGCCTAGGCAAGTTCTAAAATGTTCGCCTAGTGGACAGGGTGTGTCTTGGATGTTTCTACAGACTTTGGGCAAAGATGATCGAGGAGCAGCAGAGAAGAGTAAAAAGGCTTTCCTAGAAGCCATGCTGGAGCCACCAATGGAATGAGAAGAGCGGAAAACAAGGTGTGCCTCTCTCCCTTCTCCCCTCCTCCCTCCTCATAACATTTTACCCATCTCCATCAAAAGATACCCAAGTTAGGGGCCGGGAAGGCTTGCCTCGCATGCATTAGGCCCTGGGTTCGATTCTCCAGCACCACATAAACAGAAAAAGCTGGAAGTGGCACTGTGGCTCAAGTGGTAGAGCGCTAGCCTTGAGCGGAAGAGCTGAGGGACAACGCC